TCCAGCTCTTCTTATGTTCTTTTGTGACTTTACTGCAGTGGTGTCAGATCTGGGGGGGGGGGCTTGTTTGTTTGTTTGTTTGTTTTCCGTTAGAATCAGAAGAATCTTTATTTGCATCAGCCACTAGCTATAGCAATTCAGTGGTACCTCAGGTTACATACGCTTCAGGTTACAGACTCTGCTAACCCAGAAATAGTACCTCAGGTTAAGAACTTTGCTTCAGGATGAGAGCAGAAATCATGCTTTGGCGGTGCGGCAGCAGCAGGAGGCCCCATTAGCTAAAGTGGTGCTTCAGGTTAAGAACAGTTTCAGGTTAAGAATGGACCTCCAGAACGAGGGGGGCCACCAGGTGGCGCATTGGAAGATGGCCGACAATAACATCTCTCCGACCCACGCGAGGTAATTAAGAGGCTGCTATGGGAAGTATGCAGTCTTCCCCCCCCCCAAGGATATGGGGGGGACTGCCTTGCCAGCGGTGGCCACAATGCACCCCCGGATTCGAGAGAAGGGGGTGCCCGGTCACTTGGCACCAGCCCTCGGTGAAGTCGGCTCTTCCCGGACGCCATCTCCAATCTGCGCGTGCTGGTTTGCTTTAACTCAAAAATACAATGGAAATATATAATTGGAAGATGTTAAAGCACATACGTCAAGCAAAGGTCGGGAGATAAGACTGCTGATTAATGGATCTCTGGGATTGGAGTGGCGGGCAAGGACAAATAAATCAAGCGATGAAGTGCCATTAAGAGATTGGTATGTCTGGAGTGAAGTATGTCAGGAGTAAAGAAGGGGGGTGGAGGAAAAAACTTTTATTTGCCTTATGTGAGTATTAATAACCCTCCACCCCAAAGAAAGAAGAACCGCCGTATTTTATTACACAAGCAGGAATTTAAAAACTGTGTGGGATGAATTAATGATGAATGAAGAGAGGATTGGTAAAGATCGGAGAATGGAAAAAATTTATAACGCAGTTTTAAAATGGCGTCTCGCAAGACAGGCTTGTTTATGAAAGACGGGGGGAGGAGAACCAGGACTATTTGAAAGTGAACGATGATTGGAATTTGATCTTAACCTGGCAGAGCCCTCTATGAGATATTTTACAAGCCTGGGAAAACTAAAGGGCAGACCGAAGATAAACTTTCGAAGGAGGAGGGGGAATGGCGGCTGTCCCTATGAGATATGACTTTTGGAGTGTGTAAAACCCACACAGACGATGTTTGTTTTCAACCTGCCTGTGAAGATTATCAGAGATCGCAAAGAAAGGAATATATGACAACAACAAGAAGATGAAGAAAGTAATAAAGAGACTATCTGGATAGAACTGGATAGAACTGCTTAATTAAAGCAGTAATAGAAGTGATGTTTGGATCCTCGTCCGGAGCTTGATGTATGGGTACCCCCAACAAAATTGAAAAATTTGGCTGTATAATTTGGAATTAATGTGATTTGAAATAATGTGATATGATTGGCCTGTTAATAAATATTATGTTTTTAAAAAAAAGAATGGACCTCTAGAACGAATTAAGTACTTAACCCGAGGTACCACCGTACAATAAAATAAAATGTACTGAAGATAGAGGTAAAAACTTAACTGTGGAAAATACATTTTGAGAGTTTATGTCATTAATCAAATAATAGATCTTATTCTATTTGTCCCCACTAAAAACCTTGCAGTTTTTGCTGTCATCTGATCATCTTGATCCGCTGAAACAAAGGACACAGTAGCAATGGTTGAGCGACCTGGCATGGACAATAATAGAGGGGTAATAACCTCACTCCTCAAATCTTCATCAAGAGTACAAGCCAGAAGCACATGAGCCACTGACTCAATACTGCCATCTCCACAGGGACATACCATATTTTCCTGTGTATTGGACGAGGTTTTTTTGACTAAAAAATGACGTCAAAGAACTGGGGTCGTCCAATACACGGATAGTGGCATGGGGGGGAAGAAGCGGGGTGCCGCCAGCCATCCGGTTGGCAGGAGCATGGCTTCCCCCTATGCCCCAGTGAGTGGGGAACGATCTGGGGGTGTTTCCTGCCTGTAGCTGCATGGGGGGAGAAGCTGTGTGCAGAAGCTGTGTGCAGCTTGTTGGCGAGAGCACAACCTCCCGATGCCACTGCTGGCGGGAGCGCAAATTCCCCCAACGCCGCTGCGTGCAGGAAACAATCTAGGGAGTATTTCATGCCCGCAGCTGCTTGGGGGGAGAGGCTCAACAACTTTGGGCCATCTTCCCTCATTTTCTTAAAATTGAGTCCCCCAAAATAGGGTCTTATACATGGGGGCGTCCTATAGACGGGAAAATACGGCAGCCATTTTTCCAGTGGAACTTCTTGAAAACACCCTTCAAGAACAGCTGAAGGCAGTATACTCAATCTTGAGAAAGTGAAAGCGCGTCTGTATTTTGGAATTGTTAAATTTTGCAAATAGGGTGCCAAAGTGTCAAAATGACTAGGTGGGAAATAATCATACCGTGGACAAAATTTCCTAATTGTGGCCAGATTATTCTGTCGCTCGATATCATAGAGGCGCTGTCTAATTAAATTATTCACTTTACTGAAGCCCAGTGTTAATAACTGTTGTGGTTATAAACCAGAAAAGTAAAGCTTTTGGTTGACAGTCCCAGTGCTCTCATGACAATCTTGCGATACTAAGGGCCTGCATTAGCATCTGGCATCCTTGGCCATCTGCTGGAGCTCTGGCGGTGCTCACAGATAACACTTGCATATCCTTCAACATTTCTCGGATGAAAATAGGGATGTCTTATTCCATCATCATCATCATCATCATCCTATTTATACTCCACCCATCTTGACTATGGGAGGCTTCATAATAACATAATAATACACTAAACATTTAAAAATCTTCCCTATACAGGGCTGCCTTCAGATGTCTTCTAAAGATTACATCGTTACTTATCTCCTTGCCTCAGGCATCACATAACTCCACACCCTTCAACATTTCTCCAATGAAAATAGGAACCTCCTAAGGAAAAGTGGGACATTCTGGGATCAAATCAGAAACCAGACTGGCTTCTGTAAATCTGTTCCTGGAAAATAGGGACACTTGGAAGGTCTGTAGCACTTGCCCTGGGCCCTCGTTAAGTTTGCTTGCAGCCTGTGAGAATGATGGGCAGCAGAAGTAACCTGGGAAAGGTTTAAGGGAGGTAAGGATAGGATGAAGGGTGACCCACAGGGCAGGGACTGACTTGCTTATAAGAAGTTAGTTCCTTTGAGTAGGTGAGAGGTGCATTTAATTAAGATTCAATTTATTGAAAAATTGTGATAATTATAGAGAGGTGGGGTGAACTGGATGAATCGTCTCTTGCCAAGGCCAAACTGAATCAAAATGGCAAAGCAGGATGAGCACTCTTCATTCATTACAGGAAAAGTTTCATAGATGCAATTAGATTCTCCTTAGCTTCTTATTGTTGACTTCATATCACCAGATCACCATCTGCAAAGCCCTTTACTTGTTTTTCATTACCTCTGGGATCAGAAGCTGCCACTCAGCGAACCTCTCTCTGTGGCAGAACAAGATGACCAAAGAAAGAAAAGCCCTGAAGCAAAATTCTGCCTTTGTCTTGGTCTGAAGAACACAGTAGTTTCATTATACTCTGAAGGCCATCATTATCGTTGTTCTAAATAGCATCCTCTACAAGAAGCCACATGTTCTTTTTTTAAAAAAAATGCTGCACACTTTACACCTTCTGCATAACTCCTGCTAGGACTTACGAACACTCTTCAAGGGTAGTGAAAAAGCTGCCACAGAAGTAAATTGTGTGTTCTGATATACAGTGAGGTTACAAAAGGTACAATAATGATAAAATCAATTAAAACTACCATAAAATCAGAAAACCATTGATGAATCCATATTTTCTTTAACAGGAAAAGGAAATAGCGATGGCAAAATTCAGTTTCAAGGATGCCTACTCAGAAACAAGCCCTATTGAATTCAGTGGGGCTTACTCTTAGGTAAATGAGGTGAGACTTGAAGGCTAAAGTCTTTTAAAAAGATCCTAAAACACCCCCGCCTTCTTCTAACATTTACTAACTGGCCTCAGCTGCTTTCGGCCATCTCAGAAAGTTGTTTTTTAATGGGCTTTGACGTTTATAGTGAGACTTTTATGGAAGTTCTCTCAGAACTACCATTGAGATAAACCTTGGCTCAAACTTGCACCAATGGTGGCCTTGCAGGGTTAGATTAACAGCAGGGAAATCCTTCAGGGTGATCATAGCAACAAATGGATAGGCTACAAAATGTAAGCTTCTTACAGAGCAAAGACCAGCAGTATACTTTTAGTGCCTGACAACTCACAAAAGATGAAGACCAAAATGGTGAGATGTGCTGTTTTGTAGAATAGGGACAACCCCTGCTGTGCATCAGTCTCTTAAGAAAAGCTTCCAAGTGGTGAAAATCTAATGCAAATTTGTTTTACTGCAATCCACCATAATCTTGCCATTTCTCACAATATCTTTTCCCTTTAATAAGCTCTACTGTCCACTAATTAAGAAAGTCCACAAATGTCTACACACAGAGAATTATAAATTTTGTTGTTACTCAAAAGTTGGCTCCCTCAGCCTGAAAGTGAGATGAGCGCTGCACCCCAAAGTCACCTTGACTGGACTTAACCATCCAGGGGTCCTTTACCTTTTAACTTTAGTGGAGATTATACATTGCTGCAGCCTGAAAGTACCATAATCGATGAACCTAACACAGCACAGATTTACCAGTTCGCTATTTCTTTTATCAATGTGAGTGTTAAGTGGTGTTTGGATTTTTTCAAAATCATTAAAAAAGAAAGAAAGAAAATAAAACAGGAGTATGTTTAAATGTTACAATGATGATAACCAAGTATCTACAAAATGGCCAAGAAACTGGACAGCTTATTGCCTGTCGCTTGCACAGCTCCTTAGACAAAGCTTGAGGGACAGTTGACTGTGAAGGGAAAATTACCCTGGCCGAAAAAAGGTAACAAGGACAGGATTGACAGAATAATTACCGTAAGTTGTCCAGGAGACTAATATGCATGAATCAGCTCCCCTGGAGCCTGCTGTTCAGATTATACCTTTGGAAGTTGGCCCAATGTTGTTTTCTAGTGATTAATGTTGCACACTGATGCCTGGTCCTGTAATCAACATGTCAGGTTTCTTAGAAAGAGCGGTTCCAAGTTTTAAACAAATTTCTGGCCCTCTGTTTTAAAGGAGTACCTTTTGCTAACTTTGATTTAAAATAAAAATGCACACCTACTACTCAGCAAAGTAGGATTCAGAACAGTTTTGTTGAGCACCCAATGCAGATGCAAATGATCAAAGTGATCAAGAAAGGCAGGGAGAAAAGGAACGATTTGGAGTGGGAAATAAGGATAAGAGAGGATAGAAAGGAAAAGAAACGTCAATAGGTTTGAAGCAGAGTAAAAATTTGCTGCGGGACATTGGAGTATCGTCAAAAACCGTATAACGATGTGTGATCTTAAGCAATCTCTTGCAAAACCAGCATACATCTGCAGAGTTCAATATCAAAGCAATGTGTAAACCAAGGAGATTTACAGAAGAACCCTGTGTGTTTAAGAATTAAGTGCCTCTGAGTTCAGTAAGACTTACTCCCTGTTAAGGGTGTTTAGGATTTCAAGCTTAGAAGGATAAACAAAAGGATACACAAGAACCCTCTTAAGGTGTTCTGGCTACTGTGTAAACTAACACATGTGCAGGAGGATACAGGAACAAATGCATTAACTCTGCCCCCTCCAGTCATCCCCCACACGTTCGTAGAATTGTAAACCTGGAGGAGTCCACAAGGGTCATTTACTCCACCCCCTGCAATGCAGGAATCTTTTGCCCAATGTGGGGATCGAACCCACAACCCTGAGATTATGAGTCTCATGCTCTACCAAGTGAGTTATCCCAGGGACAGCAACAGTTCCTTGCTTAAGGCAATGAGCCTCCTTTCACTCTTGTGGGCTCTCTGATTTCCAGGATTTTACATCACATGGGGAACCTACATCAGAACATAAGAAGAGCTGTGCTGGATTAGCTCAACAGCCAACTGAGTCCAGCATCCCATTCTCACAGTGGCCAACCAGATGCCTATGAGATGTCCGCTAGCAGGACTAGAGTGCTACAGACTCTCCCCCACTTGTGATTCCAAGGTTATCTGAAGGTAGTCTTTCAACTAACCTGGTCCGGAACCATTTAGGGTTTTCTATATCAATACCAGCATTTGGTTTTGGGCCCAGAAACAAACAAGCAGGCAATGCAACTGGTGCAGTTATAGGTGTATCGTGTTCCAAGCATCTGGCTCCAACAAGCAGCTGGGCAGCTGCATTTTTACCAACTGGGAGTCTAGTCTGGGTGTAACCAGGGCATGAGAAATTGAGGCAAGGTCCATATTTTTAAAAGGGTTGCAGCTGGTGTGTTACCTGCACATCCAGAAATTGCACTGAGATCAAGACACAAGCTTGGGAGAACGACACCATCTAGAACAGGGGTTGACAAGGTTTATCTTGCCTGGGCTGGATCAGTCCCGCGGAGATCCCTCCGTGGGCCAGATCATGCGCAGGCCTGTGTGCAGACGCGATTTCTGGCTTCGTGGAAGTGGGTCTTCACGCCGTGCTGCGCCGGTTTAGCACAGCACATGAGCAGGCAATTCGGTGCAGGGGCAACTCATGGGCCGGTCAAATGACCTCCGCGGGCCACTTCCGGCCCATGGGCCTTAGGTTGCTGACCCCTGATCTAGAACCATTTGGAAATGGCCATTGATTTCCCAGCCCACACCCAAGGACCTTCATCTTATCTGGATTAAGTTTCGCTCATTTGCCTGTATCCATCCAAAAGCCACCTCTGGACACCTGGTTAAGATTTCTGGAAACTCCCTGGGATTAGTTAACAGAAACAAGAAGCAAAACCGAGTATCATCCACATAGGATCTGGCTAACTACCTGCTCCTTATATTTTCCTACAAAACAAACCATGGCACAGCTGTGGGGCATTTTATGACCCTTGGGGACCCTTCCAGCTCTTTGATACTGTGATTCTATGAAAGACCCAATGTGCTAAATGTAGGCAGAATTAGTCTAACATTCCGTTACTACTGCCAGCAGTGATTTCTGTACAATGGGCATAATCCAGACAATTTTGTTTGTGTTCGGTCCAAGGTGTTTGGAATCAAGACTAACCACTAAGCCAAATCCTAAAAGCTGGACTCTTCTGATTTGTTGGGTTTTTCATAATTCTGCCTGTGTGCCTGGCATTGTCCACTTCCCCTATTTCTGCTGGAAATGTTGGTAATTTATTTCCTACCCTGGGATTATTTTATTTTGCTGCCTTCTCTTCATCTCCTTGTAGAAGCCTCTATCATCCCAGGGCTACCTTGAATAAGGAGGACCCTGCCTGTGGAGAGGCCTGTGAAAGAACAAGTGCCCGGCCTCTGCTTCTTATGCTTCACTGCCGCACACTGGTAGCATTCCGTGCATTCCAAACGTGAGAATGCTGGAGGAATGGCCAATCCCGTGTACGCCGGAGAGACCCACAGTGTACGGTCGACGGGGCTTACAGGCTGCGATCCCAACTTCACTTACCTAGCAGTAAGCGGCACGGCGCTGCTACTCTGGCAGTCTAAACTGAAAGCCCCGCCGACCTGAGTGGGGTCAGCGACCAGGCTCGGTTGCAGCTACTCGGGTTGCTGCTCCCCTCCCAGCTTTGGTGCTCCAGCTGTTGCATTTTTGTTTGTCTCCTTCTCCTTCTTCCAGGCGGAGCGGCCTGCAGGGAGAGGGCGCGCGAGGCTGTCCCGGGACCTGGGAAATTGCAGCAGCAGCAGCGAGAAGATTGCAGCAGAGCCAGAGCGCACAAACTTCGCTCCCAGCGCGCTCGGCGGAGGGCGCCCAGCGGATCGGAGCCAAGCTCGCTCTCCAAGCGGGCTTGCTGAAGGGAGAAAGCGCCTTGTCCAGAGTGGGAGAAAGGAGAGAGCTATGCGCTCTCCAAGCCTGCCGGGGAACGTCCTCTCCCTTTGCGCAGCGCTGGTGGTGTGCTTCGAGGTAGCGCGCGGCCAGCAAGGTAAGGAGAATGGAGAGCAAGGGCGCGCGGTGGCTCTGGGCACGAAGAAAGAAAAGGGGAGCCTCTGGAGCATCTTTAGGCTCACGGAAAGGGGCGCGCTCGCGGGTGTAATGCTGGCAAATGGAATGCCCTCGTCTGTAGTGGATCGTTCTAAAAAAACAAAAAAAAAAAAAACTCCGCAAAAGTTGTTCTGTTGGTTTTGTTTTCCTTCTGTGCCTGTTGAGCATCACTTTGCGCGCTCTGGTACCTTTTTAACGCTTTTTAACTCCCAAAGAAGCCTGTGAATTGTAGTTTATCCCTCACGGAGCTACAGTTCCGTACAGGGTTAACAAGCTACTGTTCCCAAGATTCTTTAGGAGTCAAAAATGTGGTTTGAATGGGCTTTAAAGATATGGTGTGCGCACAGCCTCAGGAATTTCAATAACAGAATAGTGCTGTCCTTATTACTGCTACCAATAATTGCTAATAATTGGAAGGAAAGCCCCCCAGATAAATGAAATTCTTTGCATAACTAATAGCCATGATGTTGCCTCTTTAACGCCCCATTGCATTCAAGAGAGATCAAACATTATTATTATTATTATTATGTATTTCCACTCTTGCTGTATAAATGTAGGGAGTCGGGGTACTGAGTCTAGATGAATTAACAGAATATATACAGGAATGAGCTCCTTTGGGAGGAGGAGAGGGATATAAATCAAATGAATAATGATGGTGATCACGATAATACTTCCACTGTGGTTCGTATGGGGAACCCTTTGTGATTAGGATAGCGCGTGAAATGTGAGAATCCAAGTCAGAAAGGCTTCAATATTATTTTTAATCAATTGTCTTGGCACTGATTATAAACTGATTTTAGTGCTCATAATGATTTTTTACACAAAGTGACAACCAAGTTGCTTTTTTATGATGTTATGGGCTTTAGTAGAAAACATTTATATAAATGTTGTTTGATAACTTGGCAGAAGTTAGCTATATTATACAAACCGAAGACAGATTGCATTGCTGATATGTTTTGACCCAAGCTTATCATGGTAACTGAGACTGTCTTATTACCGGTAAGTTATCTTGTGCTTCCTTGTCTATTGATTACTTAAAGCAGTTGTCTTCTTGTTTAATACTGCATTTCAAGCTCTTCAATTCAGGATGGTTGTTTTTTGTCTCTGTGGTGAAATGAGCCGTGATATACTAGGCGCTTGCTCCAAAGACAAAAAAAACACCCCATGCTATATATTTGATTCCTGTCTTGATTAGAGTGTCGGGCAAATATCACACAATATTATCAGAATTCAACTGATTCACGAGCTTTGCATTTTTAAAAGGAGATTCAAACTCCTTTAGTTGCAAACATAGCTTCTTTGTGATAGACAGAAGGGACAGATTTGCTAAATGATTCATGTTCCAGAACTTCTTAGCTCCCTGCTAAATAGAGCCCAATAGACCTTTATTTAATATAAATATTAGTAGCAAAAGCAAGGCATCATTTTGTTCCGGGAAATAGTGACCTGGTTTGCATAACACAGTTTGGCTTAGTTTGTATTCCAGACTGAGGCTCATGGTTAAGCCTTCTCCTCACTAACCACAAGTTGTGCCCAAGAGTTGTTCTGGTATAGCCATAGTTTGGGTTGCCATATTTTGCAAACCAGACCAAGATTAGATATAATGCTGTAGATCAGAGGTCACCAACCTGGTGCCCATGGCACCCCAGCAGGTTTCCAATGGTGCTTCTGGCAGGTAACCTAGACTTCAGCTTTTGTTTTAGAAAAAAGTCAGTCTTTAACCTTAATAGAAAGGAAGTTATGGGGCAAAATGTGCAGGTACTTCTAAGCGATTTCTGTGAAATTACAGTGGTGTGGCAACCTTGGTTTAGAATGCTCCCTGTTGTTATTAGACAGCATCAGTGTGTGTAACCTCCATAATCAGGACATAGCTAAGTTTCTGTCATAAGCTTAAGGAGAATGGGAGGGATTGTCTACCTAATTTAGTGTTATGCGGTGCTCCAGGCAGCCATTTTGTGTTAAACCACTCGCACACCCTCCATGGCAGCCATTTTATGACTGGCAACACCCGCTGCAGATAAATGCATAAGAATGCTAATGTCTCCAATTTTTCTACAGCTCTGGAATGTCATGCAGGCGGTCATCAGATCCTTCAGAGTCCATACCGAAGTGTTGATTTTGATTCATCACGGCTTCAGCACTCAGCCATCCAGGACTTAATATGTGATCATTCATTGCCATCAGGGTGGTACCGCTTCCTGATTTTCGATAAGCAGGCTGAAATGCCAACCAAGTGTGTGGAGGTATGGATGCTCTCCTTTTGACCTATAATTGTATAATATGGCAGACTCCTTTTAATATATATTGCTCATCTTCTATACATGCAAATCTGAGCTATTATGCTTGGCTTTATAGTGCAAGGGTCCTTCTGGTCCACCACAAGGCTGCAAAGTCCACCGCTGCATCCTAAAACCTCCCTGAATATTCTTCTTCTAGAGTAGTGATAGAGAATTGTTTGGTCTGAGGTGGGCAAGATTTTAGTAGGCAGCATCAAAAAATATCTGTTCTTGTTCTAAAACAAGTTTACTTTCCCCACATTATTGACACTGAGTGAATGCAGATGATCAACCTACGAAAGACATCTTCTAGCTCTCTATCATCTGTGCGACAATCAACTTGTATAGTGCAAGGTGAAGGCACAATAATCTGACCAGGATGGTGAAAGGCAGCTCCCTATGTTCCTTTATCACTAAAGTAAGGCTGGAATATCTGTGGCTCTCTAGATAGTGTTGGGCTCCCATCAGCCCCAACCAGTTTGGCCAACAGTCAGGCATGAGGAGGTTGTGGTTCAGCAGCCTCTGCAGCTCCACAGGTTCCCCACCCTGTATTATGAGATAGCTGCTGCTATAGACCTACTCAGTTTGTATAGTCTAAGTGTTGCGTAGTCTGAGGCTGCCCACCAGCATGTATTTGTTGCCTGCCAAGTGCTTTGTCAACCTCATTATTTTTATGGCGCTCAACAGGTTGGGAATGGGTTGGCCATGGTGTCCCTTATTTCTCAAAAGGCTGTTTTGCATGTTATGCTAACCATGATTTTGCACCGGCATCAAGCTCCAAGAGAGGAGATTGCAACCCCTTTGCTCTTTGGTTTTGATTCTGTTCTGTGCTGAGCTAAGCCATGGTTTGACTTAGTTCTTCATCTGAATCTGCTTCTTGGTCTCCCTGTTGAACCATGAACTGTAAACCATAGAGCAAATCTTGGTTACAGCTCATGGTTACTCTGGAGAGAGCTAAACCATGAGCCCAGGATCAGTCAGTCTGCTAAGCCAAGCCAAACCGTGGCTTGGTTCAGCCCAACAAAACAACCAAGGAGGAGTGAAGTGGCCACAATCTCCTCTTTGGCTTGGCTTATTAGTGTGTGTGTGTGTGTGTGTGTGTGAGTGTGCATGCGTTTCTTATCTTGGATGGTGGAAACATTCTGTTGATCAACTGTTTTCTTCTTCTGTTTTGGTGCTAAAAGATGAATCACTGTGGGACACAGGCCCCTGTTTGGTTGTCTTTGAGAGAGTCCGAGTCCTTGCCTCAGCCTGGTGAGATCAAACACTTAACAGCCTGTGCAACTTGGCAGTTTTTCTTCAGCACCACAGAGGACTGCTGCCTTTTCCGAATTCCTGTGAGTGTGAGGAACTGTGGAGATTTCTTTGTATACTTACTCCAGCCCACCCAGGGGTGCATGGGATATTGTGCAGAAGGTGAGGAAGCACATGCTGCCTGCTACATCCCAAAACATGTATATGTTTTCTTTTCCCAAATGTGTCTCAAACCATTTGGTCTCTTGTTACGTTTTTATAGTCCTTCTACATCTATGGAAGGGACGTGGGTGGCGCTGTGGGTTAAACCACTGAGCCTAGGGCTTGCTGATCAGAAGGTCGGCAGTTTGAATCCCCACGACGGGGTGAGCTCCCGTTGCTCGGTCCCTGCTCCTGTCAACCTAGCAGTTCGAAAGCACGCAGTGCAAGTAGATAAATAGGTACCACTCTGGTGGGAAGGTAAATGGTGTTTCCGTGTGCTGCTCTGGTTCGCCAGAAGCGGCTTAGTCATGCTGGCCACATGACCCAGAAGCTGTATGCTGGCTCCCTCGGCCAGTAAAGCGAGATGAGCGCCGCAACCCCAGAGTCATCCGCAACTGGACCTAACAGACAGGGGTCCCTTTACCTTTACCTTTTACATCTATACAGAATATTAGGCCTTGTCTACTCATGAAAGACTTCTGAAGTGTTATAGAGAGGACTGCATCACCTCAGACTGCAGCTGGGGAATATTGTTTTCAAATGTTTCCTTTCTAGAAAGCTGCTCTCAGTGTGTCCTCTCTCAAAAGTGATCCAAACAATCAGCGATCACCTATCATGAGCCAAACTCTTGACGTGCCATTGTGCTTTATTCTTATAAGTTATTACATAAAATGTCTCTAATAATAAATCATATGTACCTCATAAGCTCAGACAAGGCTGCAGCCCCATCTACAAGAATTATTTGAGTTAGATTGCAAGCTATAAATGGCATCGGCCCGGTATACCTGAAGGAAGCGTCTCCACCCCCATTGTTCAGCCCGGACACTGAGGTCCAGCGCCAAGGGCCTTCTGGCAGTTCCCTCACTGCGAGAAGTGAAGCCACAGGGAACCAGGCAGATGGCCTTCTCGGTAGTGCCGCCCTCCCTGTGGAACACCCACCCATCAGATGTCAAGGAAATAAACAACTATCTGACTTTTAGAAGACATCTGAAGGCAGCCCTGTTTAGGGAAGTTTTTAATGTTTGATGTTTGATTGCTTTATTAATAATAATAATAATAATAATAATAATAATAATATACTGTTGGGAGCCACCCAGAGTGGCTGGGGAATAAATAATAAATTATGTTGGTAATGATGATGATGATGATCCTAAAAGCTGTGGGAAAGGCAAAATCAAAGGCAGATATATATACTGCAGTTTCCAAAATCCTGCCAACCTCTCACCAGCAGGACAGAAGTAACGGCAAAGCTAGGCATGAGCACCTCTGTCTCCATTTCCAGGTGTTCTTATTGTTGTTATTTTGTAGTTAATGATTTCCCTCCCATTGGAAACTGTGAAAGGGAGGTTCCCTATGCTAGCTTCTGTGGTTTGGAGGTGTGTGGAGGGACTGGGTAGTCTATAGATCCTTTGGATCCAAACTTCCACTAACCCACCTCCAATCCACTAATCTGCACACCCTTCCGGTAGGGCAAGAGCTATGGAGGTTTTCACAGTGGCAGGAAGGAGGCATCTCATGTTGAAGCTTCGGCTTGTGATTCTCCCTTTCTCTTCTTAATAGAAGGAGATTTGATGCTTCTTCTGGCCCCTGGAACACCCTCCCATTAAAGAATAAATGAGCAATTGACATGCTAAGTTGCGTTATTTTTCAAAAACTTGATGAGTAGTTGGAGCAAAATTCCATTTGCATCTGAAAATTGGCCTTGGAACAAAAAAAGGATCTCTTAGTAAAAGTCACTTTACTTGCAGTAAAAGAGGGTTTTAAATTCGTACTGTCGAGTGTTTTAATTAAAAGACATGAAATAAACTTTTTACTATCAGGAAGAGGAACTGTTACTTACCCTGAGTAGGCCACCATAATAATGTTTTCTTTATTACTTTTATGTGCCAAAAGAAATTATCATAATTTAATGGATTTCTTTATTATGCCAGCAAAAAGCCGATAGTGAAAGGCATAAACACTCTTCATCATCCTATGCAACTTATTTACTGAAAATGCGAAATGTGTATAGTATAATACACCATTTGTTTTTATGGCGGAGAACAATTTAAATATTGAAAACGTTTTCATTGCTACATTAAACTAAAAGCCAACTTGTTTTCTTAAACTGAAAGTAATGAGCTGTCTTTAAAAAAGCGAAATACATTTGGTTTTAAAAAAGCTTAGCACTGTTTAGTGAAATTGCAGCGTGCTGAAAAGTTTTTTAAACAGTTCACTCAGCTTGAATAGTTTATAATAAAAACTGAACTTTTAATTATAAGCATTCTCAGGGTGAACTTAGATGTCAACATTTAACAATACCAGGGACTTACTGACTGCGGGCATAGGCGCCGACTCCATGGGGCTTGAGGGGGCCCGAGCCCCCTCAAAAATTCGTTTGGGGGGGCTCCGCCCCCCCAATAATCTCCGGCGCCCCTCCAGCAGAGCGCCATCGCCGCCCCTCCCCCAGCCCAAAATGCACAGGGAGGGGCGGGCTGCATGCCTCCTGCCCTCCCTCCCGAGCAAAAGCTCCACCCAATTTCCTTTGGAGCTGATTAATAGGCGCAGCACGCTCTCCCCTATTCGCTCACGAGGAGGCGCCGCCACTTTATTTGCATATTCATGAGCTTATTTATTATTCATGAGCTTTCCCGGGCCCCCCCAATATTTTTTATAAGTCCGCGTCCCTGACTGCGGGTGAACAAACTTCCCACTCTATAACTCAGTCCTGGGTGGTGTTTAATATTTGTAGACGAAATAAACCAGGCCAGAGCTTCCCAGAGGTGTTACTTTCAAACAGGAGTAGGTATAGAAGGGTTTGCCCACCCTTCTGGGGCCTATGGGCACATTTGAAAACCAGAGCAACTGTTGTGGTTCCACACACAGCAAGACTCTCCCCAGCCCAGTTGTAGCCTCCCCTGCATTGACCCCACACTGCAAAAATAGAGGGCTTAACAACAACAACAACAATTTATTATTTATACCCCGCCCATCTGGCTGAGTTTCCCCAGCCACTCTGGGCAGCTTCCAATCAAGTGTTAAAAACAATACAGCATTAAATGTTAAAAACTCCCCTAAACAGGGCTTCTTTCAGCTGAGGGAGGGTCAGAGGGGACAGAATCCTGTGGGCACAAAGGAAGGCCTCTGAGGGCACATGTACACCCTCCGGCTCCCATTACCCCCAGCCAGCATGGCAAACTGCAAGGGATGATGGGAATTGTAGTGCAACAAACAACTGGAGGGCCACAGTCCCCCAATCCCTGATCCAAATGCTTATTTGCTGGAGCAAAAGCCAAAAAAGTATTGTGGCATCTGAAGGAGAGCTTTTGATCCCAGGTGCTAGCTTTCATCACCTGCTTTGAAAGGATGTCACAGGACCCTTATTTTTGCTGTGAGAAACTGGCATGGCCAGCACTCTGGAATTTGCCATAGCTGTCAATCCATATCCTCCAACATTTCTCCTATGAAAATAGGGACGTCCCATTCCATAATGATAATTTTACTGTTTATACCTCACACACCTTACTGGGTTGCCACAGCCACTCCGGGCAGCTTCCAATACATATATAAAAACATAATAAAACATTAAACATTAAAAAGACTTACCTATACAGGATTGCCTTCAGACGGCTCGGGGGTTGAATAACTCTATACCCTCCAACATTTCTCCAATGAAAATAGGGGAATCCTAAGGAAAAGCGGGACATTCCAGGATCAAATCAGAAACCAGGGCGGCTTCTCTCAATCAGAGACGTCCCTGGAAAATAGGGACACTTGCAGGGTCTGTTAATATAGGCTCAAAAATCTAGGCCATTAATTTTCTAATTTATCTTTAATAAAATACAAGGCAAAAATGTCAGAGTTCCTGTTTAACAGTCACCTGATGCAATAATATGTAAGGAATTTATCTCTAGTTACTTCAGGAGCTGAACTGCAGGCCTGCCAGACTGGGGAGAGAGAAACCACATGCAGTGGTAAGTTGTTTTCTACAGATTTTGTCAATATATTATTTTGACCCAGGGATTCTGTGTATTTTCTGTCTTAACTTTGATTTTATTTAACATTTATTTGTTTTGTTTATACATACCACCCTTTGTCAGAAGATCACAGGACGGTTTACAACACAAATATCATAACAGGATATCTGTGCAACATTAAAATCAGAACAATTATACAAATGTAGTTATATTCAGGAATACAAAATGCAATACAAATTCTCGCAACTGCATAAAAAGAGGAGAAAATCAGCAACGTGGTATCTAAATTACAAATACAGCACACAAATTGAGACTCTTCTCTCAAAGGTAGCTCTCAGTCCTGGCCACCCACAGAAAATGACAGACCTGCTGAGCAGTCACCTGGGAGCTTTCGTCTCTTCTTGCAACCTCTCAAGATCTTCACTTCCTTGCCTCTCACTTTGGGTCCTTCTACCAACTATCTGCCGCTTCCTTGTGGGTGCAGCCATTAGCTCCCAATGGTGGCCCACTAGCCCAGAGTGGGAGACACCAGAAGGGTAGTTGCCTGTGATGTCTCCCACATGAGGTGACTCCCATTGACATACTTGGCTTTTCTTTCCCTGTCCTGTAACCACCCTCAAGTTTGGGCAATGATAAAGTCTTTCTGTCTAAAAGACTGGAAAATGCCTGTTGTTGACCAGTTTGGGGTGGGGGGTGGGGAAATAAAATACAACAGCTAAAAAAGTAACAAGGAATCTATGGAGAATATCTGTCAATTTCTTTCTTTCCCCATGTTTGAAGTTATTTGTGCCCATTGTATTAAAATCTCCCTACGGTGGCCATTTTGTGACTTCACACCAGCATTAATTTCTAACTCTTTATAGCTCAAAGTAATAAACATAATAAACAGTTTGGTTTTCATTATGTTGCATGTGTCGTGATGATCTGCTCATAGGTTCAATGGATATTGTGTGTTAATTGTGTGTTGATTTTTCTGTTCCCAACAGCCACCCTTTCCCCACACACTCTCACACCACATGCTATGCTATACCACCATACCTGTTTGACTCTGATTATATCAAGACTAAATTTAAATGTTGGCCATTGTGAGAAGAGGATGCAGGACTAGATAGGCCTTTGGTTGGATCCAGGAGGGCTCCTGTTATGTTCTTGTTTAAAATAGTTAGCAGGAAATCACATTATTTTGCTTGCTGCTTGTTTCTGGAAGTCTTCTCTCTGCTTTACATTTTTTAAATGGCATTAACCCACCTCTCCACTTGTTTTTGTTGTTAGAGAAATTACCTACTTCACAGTTGCCACTTCCTTTACCACCCCCTCCAAGCACACCTGAAATAGTGGCGGTCTTACTTGAAGGAAGCATTTTCTTAAGGTGCTCCTTTGATGTTCCTACCACAAACACCTCTGTGGGCTTTCTTGTGGCTTGGTCCAGACTGTCTCCTGAAAGCATCAAAGAAGAACTGAAGCAAGAGACAACAGTCCAAGCATTCTCACTCTTAGAACTGGATGGGGTAAACCTCAGGCTAGGAGACAGGGTATGTTTAAGTTCTGTATTATTGTTTTATGTTTCTTCTAAGAGGTAATGCTCCTCAGTGCTCTTCTAATTACAAGTCCAAAAAGTTAATCCATGTTAAGCAAGGAGTCGCACCAAATGATAAATGCTGAGTTCCAAAACTCCTTATTTGTGATTCCCTTAGAAGCAGCACCCTTAACTCCCAGGTTGTGGTTTGTGTATCTCTTATTCTAAGAATCCAGCAAGCTCACTGGATGAGATTTTAGGGTTGGGATGGAGACGGTTATATTTGCATCTGTCTAAACATTTGGTTTTGTTAAAATTACCCCCTCATAATTGCCACAAGCAAGCAAAATTTTACCAGGTACAGAGCAAACAAATAACATGTATCTCAGTGCAGTTCCATAAAAACTGTATCGTAATATGGAAAGCCAGTATCCACATTTTTAAAAGTGAACTGAAAACTGATCTAGAGCATCATGCTGTTCCCTCTGAGAGTGCCTACAACCTAAGAGGCAGTGTTGCATAGTGGCCAGACTTTGACCAGGGAGACCCAGGTTTAAATCTCCATTTGGCCAGAAAGCTTGCAGCAGGGGTGGTGAAGACTTCAGCCTGAGGGCCATGTTCCCTTTTGGCCAGGCTCCTGGGAGCCGCATGCCAGTGGTGGGTGTGGCTAGAGGCAAAATAGGCAGTGCCAGAATCAAAATTGGCAAAGGAACAGGATCTAAAAATAAATTAAATTAATTAAAGTAGTTATATCCCATTTTTAAGGACCTAACACTCTCAAGGTGGGTCATTCTATATCAAGTGATCCAACTTTTTTACTTCATGTCATCCAGTTTTCTTAATATTTTGTACACTTGTTAAATGATCGAAGTTCTGAAGGGATTGGTGTTTTTAGTTTTGATGTATCTCAATCCTGGGCTGAGCTTTAAAGGTTTTTGTGTAGTCTGGCAAGGCCAAAATTGCCATCTTTTTTTTTTTTTTGAACCCTCATAACTAAAAAACTGGATGAGATTTAAAATTAAAATTTAAGATTTAAACTTAGTTTTGATCATTCAATGATTGTACAAAATATTAAGATAATTGGATGACATGAGGTAAAAAAGTTGGATCACTTGATATATGGAATGACCCCAGTGGCGTACAACTGAAGGAGATCCAATTGAGATACATAAGAGTGTTAAAAGCAACAACACAGAAATAGCGAAGCACCAATTCTCAGGAATTGCTTTTTAACCATTCTGTGATCTTCTGCATTGTCTGTATTCCTTGCATTTCCTTGCCTTCTGATCTCACTGCTTCTGCCTGTCCTACCCCTCTTGATTTTGTATATATTTCTGCAACAGAGGACGACACATGTCTCTGACGAAGTGGACTCTAACCCTTGAAAGCTAAATTAGTTTGTCTTTAAGGTGCCACAAGGCTCTTTGCCATTCTTGCTTTAATATAGTGTTGTCCCTTCTCTTGTCCTTTACATAGATTTACTGCAGCAGTTCCACCTTTTTCTTAGAGAAACCAGAAATGCAGAGTTCACTCATCGAGAGCATGGAATTTTTTGCAGGAATTAAGGTACGCTGAAAAGAAAACAGCGCATTGTGTAGTTACGATCCTGTAAGCCCAGGGGTGGAAAAGTCATACACCCAGATGAAGTTGGACTACAACTCCCATCGTTCATGTTGGCTGGAAGTTGGAATTCCTACAACGTCTGGAGGACCCACACTTGCATATTGTACTGGATGTAAGCCCCATCAAACTCAGTGGGGCTCACTTCTGAGTAGATATACAGTATGTGTAGATGGCCCTCCACAAGTTACTAGACTGCTACTCCCATTATCCCTGTCATTGGCCATACTGGGGTTGATGGGAGAATCCAGCAACATCTGGAGGGCCTCAGGTTCCTCACCCCTGCTGTATAGGACAAAGTCACATTTGTCTTCACTGCAGTGGTGCAAATTTTCAGAAGAACAATATTGTAGTATTTGCTAGTGCAAGAATTCTTCTCTGTTGGCAATAAAATTAGTGGTGTGATAGCATGTAAAGGTAATAAATGGCACTCCAAATGCATGCAATATTTTTTTCCTGAGTTGGACCCAGGCATGCTGTGCAAGCTTACCCTGTTAAGAAGTAAACCCCATTGTGTATAGGATTCCAGCCTGAGTTAATTACACTTAGGTCCCATTTAAATCACTGGGAAAAGGCTGCGTACACACCATACATTTAAAGTACATGATGTGCCTCAAAGAGTCATGGAAACTGTAGCTTGCCATGGTTGCTGGGATATGTAGTTGTGCAAGGAGTAAACTACAGTCTGCAGGATTCTCTGGGGGAAGTCATGTGCTTATATATGCAGCGCGTAAGCATTCTGAGACTTGACATTGTGGGAACTAAGTGCAAGCTCAATTGGTCTTCGTCAAACCATTTAAATTATTTCTACTAACGAGTTGGCATGCAATCATTTTGTTTGTTTGTTTAAATCAGCCTGTGTTTAGGCACACTCTGTGGAGTTTCCTTATAAAAGCAAAACGCTTTTGTATTCCTTTTGCATGGGGGGTGGTGAAATCTATTTTGCAAGATTACTGAAATTAAGTCCAAGGGCCTTTTTTTTTTAATTGCCATCATCACAGCAAGGTTTACAGTTGGATGTTATCTTAGTGATTGCCTTTCTGTTGTTTTCTACAGCTGTAAAAATCAGTTTTCGCTTTAAATTCTTTTCAGCATTGTTCTGAACATTTACTGTGAGATAATTCCACACAGATACCTTGTGTTCATAGCATGTTCCTTTTCTTATATTCAGCTACATCCTGAGGCATTTATAATATCAGAAGATGGAAAGGAATACAGACTGACGATAGAAAGCAAAATTCCCATTCCTTGTCCTCAAGCTAGTCAGCTGGAAAATGACTGCAAAATCTCATTAAAATTAAGAACAACAGAGGAAGGTAATTTCTTCTTCATTTTTTTTAATTGGCTTGTGCCTTGAATATGTACTTTTTACCCTCATTTTGACATGTTCATGCATTGCTCTGCTCACGTGATTCATGCTGGTTGCATGGCAGCCTTTGTGTGAGGAGCCAGCACTGTGTTGCAGTTCAGACCTCTAGCCTAGCTTGCTGCCCTTTGGAACAGTGGAAAACACCATGCCAATGCCCGCGTTAAACTAAGATTAAACCAGTGTGGTTGCAGGAGGGTTCATCATGTTCTTTTTCTTAGTCACAGGTGTGGAAACTGGTCTACATAGAATACAGAAAGCTGCCTTATACTGAGTCAGCCATTGGTCCATCTAGCTTATAATTGTCTACACTGACAATAACCTTGGCCCTCTAGGGTTCTAGACAGGAGATATTCCATGCCCTACCAGGAGATGCTGCAGTTTGAACCTAGAACCAGCTTCATGCAAGGCAAATGCTCTCACTGAGCTTTGGCTTGTCTTTGTTAGTAATTCCTTTTGTCTGTTCTGAATCCGTTGACCCATAGTGACCAGGACTGATGGGAAGGCCAATGGCATCTTGAGAACCAAAGGTTCTCCATTCTCCATTCTTGGTCTAAGGCAATAAGATGTATTGGTGTCTGGCACTGGCTGTGATGTGATAATGTTGCTCCCCACCCCAATCTCCAAGCAGTGTGAGATTCAGGGCCTCCAGATGCTTACCTAGGGTTCATGTCTCCTTTGGGAATGAGGTATGGTGAAGACTGTGGTGTCTTTATGATATATGGTTTGTTCACACATATGTACAACCTGATGGAGGGGCTCACAGTATTAACACCCCAAGAGAGCCTTGCTTCCCCATAACCGCAGCTTTGGATTCAAACAGAGTTGAAGGAGGGGACCCTGCCCATTTGTTGTCTCAAGCAGAGCCCCTTTCCTTTGTCTCCCTTAATGGCCCATTACCAAGGTGATCACCTCATCAGGAAGCTAGCCTGACATATTTTAATACTCGCTTGTCAGGCATGGCGAGTCCTCTCCTTCCCCGGTAACTTCATAGGCAAGAATCACAAGCAGTTTGTATTTTATAGTCCTTTTTATTCAGTCATCTGGTTGCAAAGCAGTAATCCATATCTCTCCACAAAGAGAGGTGTTGACTACTCTGAGCCCTTCCCTTCCATCTACAGCAACATCCTGGGCACCAACGGGAAGTTTCAGCTCTCTGCATCCTCTATTCTCTAATATGGAGAGACCTACGAGCCCGAGAAGAGAGGGGATCGCCCAGGCTCTCTAGGGAGATCTCTGCTGGCTGTTCCCTCCCTTTCCCCTCTTCTTCATCTATATTGTAGCTAGGTAACTCCTGCAGAGGCTGTGTAGCATTCTCCCCTCTCTCTCCTACCAAAACTGCAGGGTAGAAGGGGGGTGAATCCTTCCCCTCCTCCTCCTCTTCAGAGAGAAGCTGATCTGGCTGAGGATACACTTCCCAATCCTGTTTGGACCATTCCCAGACATTGCTGTATCCAGGGGTGAGAAGGGTCTCGGCACACAGCCTGACACCCCAATAACACATTTTCCCACTCCTGCTTCATGCTTGTGTGCACATGATAACATAAGTAAATTCTGGAGCTAAGAGATGAGATAGAGTAATACATACAAGATCCTGCAAGAGGTTAAACTAGTTGCCTCTCTGGTTATTTGCAACCTGACAGTTATATCCTGCCGCTTCCCCCAAAAACTGCATTGATTTTAACCAATCACTAATGCTAAAAACAGAACTCTGTTGCATCTTAAAGAGAAATCTTACTAATGGCTGTCTGTTTTTGGAATAGGTAAAGCTCCGCAGAGCTTAAACGTGGCTCTTTCTTCTTGCTCTGTGGAGCTTCTTCAGTATCCCTGCCACAATGGGACGTGTGGCCACGCCAGCATCCATTACACCGCGGTGACGGATTTCACCCGAAATGGAGAGAGAGTAACCAGAATTGCGGCAGAACCTATTGTTAGTGACAACTTCCTGTGGAATGGCTACATGGTGGAAAGTATTCAGGTGGAAACCCATTCCGTTCAGTCTTGATAAAAGAAAAAGAAATCACTTGGAAGTTAGCTGATGTAAACTGGCTAGGTTTTCTCTCTTTTGCACGTTTTTAACAATGACTTACGAGCATCATTTATAATGACATTTCTAATTCGCACAGCATGTGTTTTGTTTTGTTTTGTGAAATTCTTTCAGGGCAGGGCTCTCCCAAAGTGGCTTACATGTATATATAAAACATGAAATAAAAACAGCACTTGGACATCTTAATTGATTAAAAAGCTATTTTAAAACCATTTTGCCACCTCATCAGAAGCCTCTAATTGATGGATAAATTTAGTTTAAAACATTATTGATGACTAAAACGTATTGAAAAGCCAGTGATGACTAGCATATTCCTTTGTATGTATGAGGTAGACCCCCTTAAGCAGCCGCTTTATACACCATGTATGGGGGAAACCAGTGACCAAATGTTGCTGGCCTACAACTCTCAACATCCCAGGCCTTTGGCCAGTCAGGCCGGCGCTGATGGGAGTTGTAGTTCAACAACATCTGTGAACGGCACAGATTCCCCATCGCCTGCTCTGCACACTTACCTGATACAAGTAAGTCTCTTTGAAATTAGTGAGGCTTAGAATTGAAGCATTGCTGTGTTATTTACTTGTAAGTCAATCTCCGTAATCAGCACGTCAATATATTTGAAGGATTCCTGATCAGCTGATTTACCTTAATGTCTTCACTTCTTTTAAAGGTTACTGTGAAAGATCTGCCCTCTGCCTATTGCTACTCTTTTACTGACCCACATATCATTACATTTGATGGCAGGTAATTTACAAACTTACTCTTTCCCCTTTTTCTTTTCAAGAGAGGATTTTTTTTTAATCGTAAGATGAATACATTAATATTTTTTATCTGTCGCTTGTTAATCAAAACCATCTCCCACCCCATCAAAATGCTGGGGAGAAAGAACCGTGGCTTTAGTGACTTGCTTCAACTCAGTGACGCCAGTTGCTATATTTATGAAGGAAATCTGTTCTGTCACAATGAAACACAGCCAGGGCTGATCATATCTTCTGAGCAGTTCTACAGAATATGTCCCTAGAGATGAGTAATGGTGGTTACATTGAATGCTCCGCACCCACAATGCGTAGCCAGGAACGAGTGTGTGCTTATAAAAACCCATATTATGTGAGCGTTGACTAGGCAAAGAGGCAGTGAGATTTTTTTATTCAGCCCAGTCTCCTAGCAACTACCTGAAATTCACACAGGTAAGTGTTGCCTGCCTGAATGGTATTGGAAAAAACTGTCCATCATGCCATTCTCACATCATCGCAGAACATTCCCTTTAAAAATAAAAAGGTATTATTTAGGGAGTTGGGGGAACACCAACACACCAAGGAATGGGGAGGGAGTGATTAAATAATATTGTGGAATATAGCTTTCACCAACCTACTGTCATCCAGGTGTTTGGGACTACAATTCCCATCAGCCCCAGGCCGTACAGTGCTGGCTGGGGATAACGGCAGTCGTCTGAATGATCTGAATGCCACAAGGTTGGCGAAGGCTGAGGCATACTTGTTTGGTTCTCTTTCAAACAAATAAATAACTTTCTTTCTTTTATAGTTTCTTTTTCTTCAAAAATGCAGCTATGGGGGCAGTAAACAAAAGTGGGTGTTCATAACGCTTTCCCCTCATTCAGTTTCCACCCTAAAAACTCCTTAACCTCAATAACTTTTTACCCTTCAAGTGAAATGATGCAGGCATCATATTTTCCTTGGCAGGGCAAAAATTGTTTTGGGGGGGGCAATTTTTAGTGGGAAATGCAAAAAGGAAAATGATTAAGAAATCATCACTGCCACCCAATGTTGGACTTCGGCTTTTGTTTGTAGTCCAGCTATATTTTGTAAATAAAAAGAAATCTGGGATAAAATATACACGACGGAATGCTATAATTTGACTTTAGTATTTCAGTGAGGAAGTGCGCAATCCTGTTCATGGAGCAAGGCCCTTTAAAACTAGGCAGAACATACCTATGAGTAAACATGCATAGGGTTGATTTATAAAAAAAACTGTTAGAACAGCCCCCCCCAAAAAAGTTAGATTAAAAAATGACAACATTGGATGAATTAGCACTGCATTAAAATAGCAATTCGTAAAAGTGATGATAATTTTGAAACACAAATAATTTCGCATGCTCTTCTTTTTTCTAGGATGTATGACAACTTTAAAACGGGAACGTTTGTGCTATACAGAAGTACTTCCCGTGATTTTGAAGTCCACGTGCGCCAGTGGGACTGTGGGAGCCTCTATTACCCAGCATCATGTAACTGTGGTTTTGTTGCCCAAGAAGGGGCTGATATAATAGCATTTGACATGTGCAGTGGTCAGCTACGTGATTCGCAGCCGCACTTATCTGTAAAGAGCAGAGCTTCGGCAGACAGCGGCGTCAGGATCAGTGAATCATATTCAGGAAGAAAAGTCACGGTGTGTTGATCCATTTTATATCCATTGTAAAGCAACTTGATTCAGGAGGAGTTTCCTGTTTCCTTTTTAATCAATGCTATAAGCTACTTTCAGACATTAATGATAAACCATGGTTCATCGTTGCATGAAGAAGCTTGGCTGAGCCTTGGGCTTCTGCATTGCCCAGCCCTTCTCCTCCAACTTAGCCATGAGGAAACTAGGAGCTTTTGTTACCCACTCTTAACTAACCACAGTTTAGCATTAGGGATTTTTAAATTTAAAAAATCCAATAAACATACATGGGCTGTGTTTGGACATTAATGATAAGCCATGATTTATGATTATCTAAACAAACATGGCTTAGTCTTGGACTTCTGCATGCCTTCTTTCTGCTACTCCAGTGTGGCCATGAGGAAATTAGAAGCCTTAGCTACAATTGTTATGTCTAAACCTTGATGAACTGCAATTAGTCTTAACTATGATTACTGAAAGGGACACGGGTGGTGCTGTGGTGTCAACCACTGAGCCTTGGGCTTGCCAATCGGAAGGTCAGTGGTTTGAATCCCCATGACGGGGTGAGCTCCCGTTGTTCAGTCCCAGCTCCTGCCAACCTAGCAGTTCGAAAGCATGTCAAAGTGCAAGTAGATAAATAGGTACCGCTCCGGCGGGAAGGCAAACGACGTTTCCTTGTGCTGCTCTGGTTTCGCCAGAAGCGGCTTAGTCATGCTGGCCGCATGATCCAGAAAAACTGTCTGCGGACAAACGTCGGCTCCCTCGGCCAGTAAAGCGAGATGAGCACTGCAACCCCAGAGTCGTTCGCGACTGGACTTAACTGTCAGGGGTCCTTTACTTTTACCTTTTATGATTACTGAAAGAAGCCAACTTCAAACTGTGATTGATAAAGCAGGTTTGTTTCAATAAGCCATAGTTAAGATTAATCATATGTCCAAATCCTAAACTATTGTTAATTGAAAGCAGGAGCAAAAGATGCTGATCTCCTTGTGACCACGCCAGAGGAGGAGAGTGGTACACGCTCCTGACCTATTGTGCTGTTGGTCATATTATCTGTAGAATCTGGGTCACAGTCCTCTGCCTCTCTCACATGATCTGGTTGACATGGATTTGGGAGGGGTCCAGGGATGAAAGAGAACCATCACAGAGGTTTTTGTGTTGATAAGCCAACCTTTCCTACGTATCCATGTCAAAGTGACAATTCTCCCTACCATTTACAGATTTATGATTGGTTGTCCTGAGGGCCTCTGTCGCTTGAATATAGCAGTCAGTTGCAAGTGGAGTTGTTGCACAGGGTTCGTTTCCTTTGAAAATGCATCTTTTAAACGCAGTGCTGTGCAGTAAGCCTGCAACTTACGGGCATTTAACTTGTGTGCAATCAGCTTTACGCACTTGGCAAAATAGAAAATTTAGAATGGGGAAAATGAAAAAAGACATTGGCAATTCCACCCGCTGTCGAGCCCAATGTGTTTGACTAGACACAATTTTGGCTTTAGGCGTCATCCCTGGAATGTATTCCTTGCATAAGTTGTGGGCTTACTGTACTTAAAAGACAGGAAAAAAGGAGTCAGATGAGATACGGCAAAGCAGTAATTTGTTTCATCTCCAAAATGGTCAATAAATGGAAACCACAGTCTGAAAAGGTCTTCCTGTTCTCTCGGTGTGATGCCATTTGTTTTTAGATCTCGTTTTCTTCTGGAGCTTTTATTCGCGCCGACGTGAGTGAATGGGGAATGAGTCTAACTCTCAGGGCCCCCAGTTTGGATTATAAACACACGCTGGGCCTCTGTGGAACATTTGATGGCATTGTGGAGAACGATTACCACAATGTGGACGGAACTGAAATCACTGGAGGAGCTGATACTTACACATCTTTTATTAATGAATGGAGGTAATCTTTTATATTATTGCGAAGGGGAGATCTATTCGTTCAATTATTTGTTTATATTCCGCCGCTCCTCCAAGGATCTCAAGGTGCCATACTTGTGTGGGTTTTTTGCCTTCCCCATTTTATCTTCGCAACAAACCCTCTGAGGTAGGTGAGGCTAAGAGACAGTGACTGGGCCAAGGTCACCCAATGAACTTCATGGCTGAGTGGGGATTTGAACCCTGGTCTCCCAGGTCCTAGTCCAACACTCTAACCCAGGCATAGGCAAATTCGGCCCTCTGGATGTTTTGGGACTGCAACTCCCATCATCCCTGACCACTGGTCCTGTTAGCTAGGGATGGTGGGAGTTGTAGTCCCAAAACATCTGAAGGGCCAAGTTTGTCTATGCCTGCTTTAACCACTATACCACACTGGCTCGCAATAGTGCAGACTTATTTCTGTTCTACCTTTCTTCTGTCATGGAACCCAAGGTAACATACAAGTGGTTCCCAGCCTTCCATCCAGGCACTGACCGAATTTTGAAATGTTGTACCAAAATGCCCTGACTTCTTGTCACTTAAAGTTAATTATGAAAATGATAACAGCAGGAAGGGGATGTGGACTCTAGTTCCTCAATAACATTAAAAAGAAAAGAAAAGATACTGCACAAACTTACACAATCTATCCATTTTCCATTTAATTAATTTCCCCTGTCATTATGAATGTGTCCTGTTTCATAGCTTAAGGTCTCTGATCTTTTTATCTGCACAGTGAGACAATCTAGGTTGAGGGGATGGCAGGCATGTCACCATTATTTATGTATTTGTGTATTTATATATACATACACAAAAAACCCAGCTATATAACACTGTGCAATAATGGACACCACACTTTCAGAAGGATATTGACAAATTAGAGTCCATAAAGGCAACAGAGATGCTCAACAGTATAGAAAACAAGTCCTAGGGGGTTTGAAGGAACTACTTAGCCTGAGCGGAGAACATTCTTCAATTATCTGGAGGGCTGTCACGTAGAAGAGAGCAAGCTCTTATTCTCTGCTGCCCCAAAGGTCACGACTGTATCTACTGGACGTTAAGTTATGGGAGGATACGTTTTGGTTGGGTGGCAGGAGAAATTTCCTGATGGTTAGACTGGTTCAACATTTAAATGAATTGCCTAGAGGTCTGGTAGGATTTCCTTTGCTGGAACAGAGGCTGGACAGCCAAATGTCTAAAAGGAAAATTGCTATGGTAACAAGTATCACAAAGCTCCAGTGGCATGAACAGTTCTCCCCTCCCCCCCCTCCATCCATCCATCCATGCATGTTGCATATTTGGATAGCAGCCATGTTGAGATTTTCCAGTTGTTTTTTTGACAGGATTTCACCAGGAGAGAGTCTGTTTGACCAAATACCGGATCTTTCAACTCCAGCCAAGGAAATAGTTTTCTGTAATTGCAATGCTGGTGACGTGGGAGAAGACCAACCAGCAAATAAACTGAATTCTGTTTTTGAGGCAGAATTGTCTTTGCCCTGCAGAAAAAACAAACAAAACGCTTGGCTCCCTTCCTTGATCCCGGGGCTGGATGTAACCACTGAGTACATCGGCTCGCTTGATCCTATCAGGGGCTTGAGGAAACGTGCTTCCGTGCTGGAGGAGGTTTCTTCTGCTGTTCCCTCCAGAGAGGGACACTCTCGGAATCAAAGAGCTCTTCAGACAGCAACCCCAGAACGCACAGCTCTCTTTCTGAACTCCAAGACAGGATTTACAACACACAAACAGGCTGTTTGGGGCCGGGGGGCTGACAGCTACACAGACAAGTTTGGCAGCCAGTGGCGCCGCAAAAGACATTCACGCCCAAAGCGCCAACATGACTACGAGTACCTTTCTGTGTTTCCATCCCAGAGCCTAAGCCAAACAGATCTGGATGGATTTAGCTATTTCTTCCCAGAAGATCACATGGCTGACCCATACCAAGAGCCCATCTCTTCATGGCCTACGCCTTCTGGCCTCACTGAGTCGGATGCGTTGGACCTTTGCCAGGAGACAGTTGCCAATTCCAGCATAGTGAGAGCTTGCAAGGCTCTCCTCGGCCAGTGGGTCAGCGATGTGGTAGACTTGTGCATCAAGGATCTGCAACTGAAAGACGACCTCAGCTGGGCAAAGGCAGGCTTGGCCCTCCTAGAAAACGAATGTGAAAAGAGAGCTTTGGAAGAAGTTAATTACCACACTGGAGAAGAAGACAAGAGATTATCTGATGACTTGCTTTTAGCGCTGAAGTGTCCCAACCTCTGCAGCGGGAGAGGTCACTGCGTTGAATGGGGCTGTGCTTGTTTTCAAGGCTTCAGCTCGTACGACTGCAGCACCTCATCTGGTGAGTCGAGCTACAGTTACTAGCGTTCTTTCTCTGCCCCACAGCAAGCTTCCTTATCCAACATCTATATTCTAATCTGTAAAACAGTCAGCTTTGCAGTCTGTTCTGCATCTGTCCTGTTTCCTAGAGGTAAGTCATGTTATATTTGACTCCTGTTGTGCCAGATTTAACCACTGCTCACTGGAACACTAGTCTCAATTACTAGCTTGGGGAAATAGTACAATTTCACATTCCAGCCTCCTTATAGAATGAAGCCGGATGCCTCTATTTGGTATTTCTATTAGATGCCGTTTGGGTCTTTTATATAATGCAACACAGCCCTTGGTGGGTGAAGAGGAGCACCATGCTGGGGGGTGTCTACATGGGGTTGTCTGGTTCACAGCCCCTCATAAATTGTGTGTCTGGGGCCATGGTCACCCCTGGCACCCCCCACACTATGCCTCTGCCAGGAGACTGTGGCCTCCTGTTTCAGGTGTTATGGAGAAATACAGCTGAGTGTCATCAGCATACTGATGACAACTCACCCTGAAACTCCTCATGACAGCTCCCAACAGCTCCATGAAGATATTAAATAGCACTGGAGATAAGACAGTCCCCTGTGGCACCCCACAGCATAGCTGTCAGGGTGCCGAAAGACACTCTCTGAATACTACTCTCTGGACTGAAGGGAGGATTAAAACCACTGTAATACAGTGCACCCAATTCCCATTCCCCGGAGCTGGTCCAGGAGGATGCCATGGTTGATGATGAGAGACCAAAATGCAGGAACAAGGTCCCACTCCCCGTGTCCTGCTCTCTATAAACGTCCTTCATCAAGGCAACCCAGACTGATTCCGTTCTGTGGCGAGGTCTGAACCCAGATTGTAATGGATCTAATTATGCTCCCCATATTCTTTGCGCATATGAAACAATTAGCATATCTAAGTAAGAACACTTCTCTCTGACATTTAGTTTTCTGGAGCTGGGGATATTTTTGGATGGAACATTATTCAAATCATATGAGCGCACACCCACCCCCCACCCCGGCCGCAGAATGGAAATTTGAGGTTCAGAGACAAGTGTGCCCCCATTCTCACTGTTTGTGAAACCTATGTCTTCCTTTAACTCGGTATGTCGAATTTTCAGTGTGAAATATGTTGAAATTAGTTTGTTTCTTTGCCCAGGTTTTGTGTCTGTAGTGCCCTATTTTCTTCATATTTGTTTGATAGGTATTTGTTGGCACAAAAGCTTTGTCATACTGTTTACATGATTGACTCGGTGTGTTTCACTTTCTGATTTTCGTTTTCAAGATCAGGTTCCGGAAATTACAGAGCTGAACAATGGAGGGTTGTGTGATGTCCAGCAGTATGACTGCACAACTGTGAGAGTTTTTGGCCGTGGATTCATGGAGTTGCCAGGCCCCAGATGTGAAATTAATAAGTTGCAGGTGGATTATTTTATGTATTATTGATAAAGGTTCAGCGTTCAGGTTTTTAGAACCTGAAGTTCCTGTAAGCCATTCTGCATCCGTATTCTCCATATTCAAGCAGTTGTTGACTGAGGAAATCATAGGTGGTACAAGTGGTAGAACCTGCAAATAGAAGGCTGTGAGAAACTGAGTTCAGCATGGTTTTCTTTTCTTTTCTTTTCTCAACTTTATTTTTTGGCCCTGTGCAAAGGTGACAAACTGGAAAGTCTCTTTCAGACTTGTGGGTGCAGCTACTTGGTTCTGCATTACTACTGCGAGTATGAAGACTGCGAGCAAAATTTACAGGACAATTTTTGTAGGGGAGAAAGCAATTACTCAAACTGGAGTTTATCCAAGACCCTTGATCAATTGGCCAATGTCAGAAGCCTGAGCTAAAGGAGCTGAAACTAGCGCCTCGCCTCTGAGATATAATACAACTTCCCCCAAAAAAAAAAAATCCCTCATGTATAAGAAATTCAATTTTCCCATCAACTAAGTAGAAAACATTTTCTTTTTCCAGCGCACCTTTATACTTGGCTCCGTCCAGTTGATGCTGAGGTTATATTGGCAGGCTGTGGATTTCCCTTTGTACACAACATGGATCCTCTCATCAGCAAGTCAGTTTGAAACGAGAAAGCCAACAGCACATTTACATTCCATTAAGTTAAGAGCTACTCCCCAAACTCCTAGTGAGACAATTATTGGGAGTTCACTTATCACAGCTTGAACTGTCTCACTCCTCACTCATTGCAAGCTGGAGGGTTTTAATAACACTTTCAGCAGCGACACTCTTGGTCTTATGCTCCCACCCCCCCACCCCACAAAAAAAGGTTCTGTGGCCTATCCTTTTATCAAGCAGATAAAGTTTTGGGTTGCCATGTGAGTCCATTAGATCTGAATAATGTCTAATTTTTATGTTTTGCAAAGGGAGAAGAACAGCCATTGCTATAACTTCTGGCACAACCTGAGATCTTTTTGCTCACAAACAGCACAGCCTGACCTAATTAGGCCTGCAGTCCTATGTTCATTTTTCTGGGAATAAGCTCTGTTGGACACAGTGGGACCTGTTTCAGCACCTGTATGCATGGAATTGTGTTGCACAGCTCCTGCAATCCACCTTATAGATGGCATACTTTTTTCACTATGCCTACCCACTTTCATCTTTATTTCTCTCTCCCTCTGACTCCCCTTTTTGTTTTTGTGTTTTTGCTTAACATTCAACTTGAATACTCCATGTTCTGAGGGAACGTGAAAGCTTGTGCGGTACTTTGCATTTCTGTTGCTTCTCAGAAAGGTATTATGTTTGAGTTGCTCCATATGAGGGACGCTGGTGACGCTGTGGTCTAAACCACTGAGCCTCTTGGGTTTGTTGATCGGAAGGTCAGCGGTTCAAATCCCCGCGACAGAGTGAGCTCTCATTGCTCTGTCTCAGCTTCTGCCAACCTAGCAGTTTGAAAGCACGCCAGTGCAAGTAGATAAATAGGTACCGCTGTGGTGGGAAGGTAAATGGTGTTTCTGTGTGCTCTGGTTTCTGTCCCGGTGTCCCGGTGTGCCAGAAGCGGTTTAGTCTTGCTGGCCACATGACCCAAAAAGCTGTCTGTGGACAAACACTGGCTCCCTCAGCCCGAAAGTGAGATGCGCACCACAACCCCATGGTCACCTTTGACTGGACTTTAACCATCCAGGAGTCCTTTACCTTTTTAAATTTTTTTTACCTTATATGTGGGAGCAGTGGAAACCATCCTGAAGAAGCAAGCAGAAGGGTTTTTACTCTTTAAGTGGCCCATGGACATTTCAGCCACTATGTTGTAAATAAAGAGTTCACTGAAAGAATATAAAAGTGACCCATTGTCAGTGGATAAAGCTAGGTGCTTGCGCAGGTTGAATGAGAATCATCTCAGGGTATGCAGCAAAAAAGTCCCTCCTCTAGAGGTAGATGTGAGATGGTGTAGGTCAATGGTTTAAGCCTTTTTCTTTCTTGCACTGGTTTTGCAATCCAAATGACACCCACCCACACAAGCTGGAACCTACTTGTATTCTTGTGGGGGTTGGGAACTGGTTATTGCCAAGTGTCATAGCCTAAATCTAAATTAGGGCCTCCATTGCTTTAAAAAAAAAAAAGCCCTGAGAAGATCCAATAACGGATCTTTTGCCATTACGCTATATGGCTCTGACTTGATGGTGCATTAGTGCTACAGAATACTTGCCCATTTTGTACCCCCAGAACTGCCAAATTGGGTCAAAAGAGGTGGCAAATTAAGGTACTCTGTAGAGATTTGCTTCAGTTGAGATTATTTGTATATCTATTTGTATCTCACCCAGTGGCGTAGCGTGGGGGGTGCAGGGGGTGCCGGCCGCACCGGGCGCAACATCTGGGGTTAGGGCAAATCCATGGGTTAGGGGGCGCAAATCCACAGGTTAGGGGGCGCAAATCCATGGGTTAGGGAGCACAAATTACTTGCCTTGCCCCGGGTGCTGACAACCCACGCTACGCCACTGATCTCACCGTCTTGTTTATAGGGTCACTAAATCAGGCATTTTTGGTCCTTTAATTCAGTACAGTGATAACAAGTGGGTGCTTGGGGAATCTTTATTCACCCACGCCACTTTCCACAACACCAGGACTGTGGATTGCCAACTTCCCACTGAAGGACACCAGAATGATGGTCTGGATCTTGTGGATGGCCAACCCATTGCAAAGTGGCAAATTAAGGTAATCTCTAGAGATTTACTTCATATAGTCATATAGCGACTGAGATAATTTTTAAAACAAATCCTGCAGAAGTAAGCTGAGGAGGTGCATGAACATAACTTGTAAAACCATTTTAAAAATCATCAAAAGGCACACTATTGGGGGGGGGGGATGCACAAAAGAAACAAGTTTTGCTCTCTGTTTATAATAGGTCACCCAGAGACCTACCATTACTTCCCGTTATGTCTTCTGCTTACCCCTGCAGTATGTAGGAATCAAGCTTAAAATATGTAGGGATCTAGGTAGGATGTGCATGTTGTCAATTGTGAAACGCGCCATAATCCCCTTTCGGATGCTTATATAACTCACAGAACTGTTGCTCTATGTCAAAACAGATTTCTAATGACGGGTTCACTTATAGCAACCCTAAAACAGTGACATTATTTGATGGAGCTTGTCAGATATGCGACCCACAATCAAATGGATTTTGCACGTTAAAGGCAAGTGTCTTATTTTTGTTGTTGTTTTGCTTTGAATATTTACAACCTCATTAGGGCTAGGAGATAAATCTAGCAGAGATGTCACCTCATTAAATGAAACGGAATAGATTAATTATGTACAATTTCAGCGGAGTGATCAATTAATTAGTCAGTTAAATATGCAATACACAATTTCTGGAGGGGCAACAGTGTTAATCCGTTATAGCTGTGAGTCTTGTGGCACCTTAATGAGTCGTTGTTGGCATCTGTCTGTCTCGAGAGACGATAGGGTGTTCCTCCGGGGGTGAAGCCAAACCACTGGAGTATCATAGTGCCTGCGGTGGCTGCAGAGATCGATAACTCATAACTGCTGCCTCCTGAGTTGTTTTTGCTGCATTGGCAGCGCCAAAGTGACCTCTCTGGAGTGTAAGCCCTGGCAGTGTGCATGGGGGTCCTGGGCTGCCCAGATGACAAGCCCCCCACTCTTGGCCTTGCTGATGTGATGCAAGGGGAAGCAGAGCAATACGTTTGGCAGGAGCCTGGCTGCAGGAGTTGCTGGAAGGAGGCGTACAAGACGTGATCCAGCCATCTTGGGGACTCCACTCCAGATTTGTGTAGGGTTTGCTCCTTAGCAAGGGAGTGAGTACAGATTTTTCCTTGGGGTTTACTCCCTTAAAGAGTAACATGTTTATTTATGGCACATATATTCATGACTAAGGGACGTGGGTGGCGCTGTGGGTAAAACCTCAGCGCCTAGGACTTGCCGATCGCATGGTTGGCGGTTCGAATCCCCGCGGCGGGGTGCGCTCCTGTCGTTCGGTCCCAGCGCCTGCCAACCTAGCAGTTCGAAAGCACCCCCGGGTGCAAGTAGATAAATAGGGACCGCTTACTAGCGGGAAGGTAAACAGCGTTTCCGTGTGCTGCGCTGGGTCGCCAGATGCAGCTTGTCACGCTGGCCACGTGACCCGGAAGTGTCTGCGGACAACGCTGGCTCCCGGCCTATAGAGTGAGATGAGCGCACAACCCTAGAGTCTGGCAAGACTGGCCCGTACGGGCAGGGGTACCTTTACCTTTACCTTTTATATTCATGACTAGAGTCCACACCATCAGATGCATAGGACCAACAATACTGTCCTAGACATGTCTGCTGAGAAGCAAGCCTGATTGAGTTAAGTGAGACTCCCAGCTAAATGTGTAGGGATAGGAGCATCTGGGGAGTTCCCCATTGGCTAACAGCTCCAACTAGGATCGCCAATAGTCAGTGGTGAGGGGAACATGAAACTTTTAAGGTTCACAGGTTGGAAGTAGGCGGTCTGTTACTTGTAATGCCTTACTTCCCAACTTTACTCGTAATGCTGCTTCCCAAATTCCAACTGGGTTGACTGGATTCATTCCAGAAATAACTTCTGATGTGTTTGTTGGTTGTTTCCAGAAGGGAAAGTGCTCTCTTTCAGCCCTTCCCCCTCCTCCTGTCCTTAAGGTGTCTCATAGATCTCTAGGTCTAAGAGGTTATCACAGCCATGAAAATATCACTTCCTTGTGTGCCCTACTGAGTCTCACATCTCCTAAATTTGGGATGGGGAAACTATGGCCCTCCAGATGTTCTTGAACTCCAAGTCCTACCATCCCTGCTCATTGACCATGTGGCTGGGGATGATGGGAGTTGTAGTCCAGCAACATCTGGAGGACTGCTGTTTCTTCAACTCTGCCCTAGACCAATAGCAGAGCTGCTTCAGAGCAGCCCTTGAATCAGCATAACCCAGATTTTGTGGAAGCTTCACACTACACAACATTGATGGATTGTCTCAGGCACAGAATGGTTTGTTTAAAAGATATTTTCTAAGTAAAAACAGGCAGCTTCTACTTGGATGCAAAATGGTATTGTATTACCAGGTATCCACCAAAAATTTGATATGAATAAATGTAATCATGCCTGCCCTGCCCTGGTTCCCCCAGACATTGCTAGACTACAAGTCTCACCATCCCTGACCATTGGCCATGCTGACTGGGTTTGATGGAAGTTGGAGTCCAACAACATATGGCTGGCACCAGTTCAGGGAAGGATGTGGTAATTCTGTGCAAGTTTACTCAGAAGTAAGTCCCACTATTTCCAGCAAGAATTCTTCCCAGGCAAATCTCTACAGTATTTGCAACCCAAATTCGCAATCTGCTATAGAACAATACAATACAGCATTGAATTTAGTGATCCACTACAAAACCCTCCCAATAATTCAGATTCTCATAGTGGACCTTTTGCCTGATCAAGAATTGAAACACCAAACTCAGTCGTTTCAACAAGGCACCTTGAAATCCTATCAGGTGTGGACTACAAAGGATTTCCTGAATGCCCCACTGGAAGGCATGTCGTTTGTGCAAGAGCTTGGCCATACTCGGTCCAGCCCAAGTTCTGTTCATTTTAGCGACAGTGGTGTAGAATACCTTTCTGAAGACCTGGCTTGTTACAAGTTGTGAACTCTCTGAAGCATGCAAAAATTAGATTGAGGTTGGGGGCACGTGAGAGTAACTAGTAGGCCACTGCTTTGACAGTTTATGGCACATGAATAAACATGCAGGAAAAATATTCCAAAGTCTTAATGAATGATATTTTATTTCTGCAAAGGAGAAAACATGCAACATAGATGGACTTTGTTATGGTGAAGGTGACACAAATCCTACAAGCCCTTGCTTACTCTGCAGACCGGAAATATCAAAGTTAACTTGGTCAATTGCTGAAAGTAAGTTCTAATTAGTTATGAAGCTCACTGGTTCAGATGCCTAAACCTAACAAATGATTTGTATTCTCAGATTCATGCATGTTTTCCATGTGCATACCAATGTTTACAGTAAACTGTGAAGGGGAGACACATCTCCAGAAAGTTGAGGAGGAGATACATATGACACGGAGCTGGCAGTGAGTCTAGTGTTACTCCTACAAGAATGGGGAACCTTTGGCCCTCCAGATGTTCTTGGACTACAACCTGCATCGTTCTCTACCCTTGGCCATGCTGGGTGGAGCTGATTGAAGTTGAGAGTCCAACACCATCTTGGAAGGCCACAGGCTGTCCATTCTTGCCTGAGAGTTTGGATCAGCACATCACCTCTCTAGACTTTATTACTTGTGAACCTTCTCATGAGAAACAGAAACTTCAGATGAAATTTGATATCTAGCATCAGCTCATTTTGTTCCTAGCTGCCTGTGCCAGGATGATGGCTAAAGTTCATCATGGGTTCATTTTCCTGATGGATTTGTGCCATTTTGTTCTGTGGTGTAATGCTCTTGGGGCAGGGTGATGTTTATTGCATGTCAGTGGGTCATGAAATATGTTTCTTCAAGACCTGTTTGCATCCATTGGCACCTGCAAACAGTTCTTGAAGAAACACATTTCATGACCCGCTGAATGTTAAAGAGCCTTGAGTTGAATCCAGACTAACTTAATTGAAGTCCTATTGGTTTCAGTGCGGCCTGTGATTAACTAACTCCCATTGAAATTCCAGGAAATCAAATTGTAGTTGTATCTGATTCCTTGTATAGAGCAATGCCTGCCATCATGATGGGCACAGGCAAGCGGGAAGCAGGGAACCACTTTGTGCAGGAACTCACACCCCCCCGTGAAATCCCTTTCAGCAGATGCTTAGAGCCAGTGTCATGGACTGGTTGCACACCTTTCCTCAACCTGGCAACCCCCAGGTGCAGTTGGACCCCCAAATCCCATCAGGCCCAGCCAGCATGGCCAATGGTCAGGGGTGATGGGAGTTGGTATCTGACAATATCTGTTGGGGAAGGCTGACTTACTGCAATGCTTAATGAAAAAACACAAGAGGATATCTCTGTTGGTACAGAATGAGACTCTTGATCTCAAGGCTGTGGGTTTGAACCCCACATTGGGTAAAAGATTCCTGCATTGCAGAGGGTTTCACTAGGTGATCCTCATGCTCTCTTTCAACAACACCTCTATGATATGGGATCAAGTAAAGCACTGCAGTCAGGTGCACATTTGGTATAGGCCTCTAACAGTGGCTATGTAAGTAGGTGGGGAACAGATAAAAATTTCCTGATGTCATCCGTTTTTCATATTTCTAACTTTGTGGCTGTTCCATTTATTTCCTTTCAGACAACCAGCCTCCTGTATTTCAAAATACGCAAGAAAGGCTGCAGACCTTTTATGGGGAGGATTTTGTGTATCAGTTCTCAGCGACGGACGCAGAAGGCTCTGCCGTCGCTTTCTTATTGAATTCTGGCCCGCCAGGTGCCAGTCTTTCTCCCGCTGGACTCCTGATATGGAAGGCGCTGTCGAAGAAGCCTGAGCTGTTTACCTTTTTCATAACGGACGACTGCAGTGCCGAAACCCAAGTTGCAATCGAGGTAATAACTATTGTGGTCAAATAGGCAACGCTAATTGCTATCATGCAGCCATGACAAGAGCTCCATTGCAAATGGAATATCCCATTCAAGAGTAATTATAGCCTGCTGTTTATTGGGCATGTTTTGCAGGTCAGCGTGAAACCATGTGACTGCTTAAATGGAGGGTCCTGTGTGACCGATACCAATTTCCCTCCTGGAAGTGGGAAATATCTGTGCATCTGCATGCCAGGATTTGAAGGTGACCTTTGTCAAGTGAATACCAATGACTGCGCATCCAACCCCTGTGGCCTTGGCAGATGTTTTGATGGAATAAATAGCTTCCGCTGTGAATGTACACCTGGGCTGCAGGGTGAATTGTCACTTATTCTACATTTACATAACAATAATTCAATTACATGCATGATTTCAGGCTCCAGTTTACTGTGAGGTTTATTTAAGCAGAACAAATATTTTTCAAGCATCACTGAGTTAGATCTTCGCGTACGCCTCTTCAGGCCAGTTAAAGCCAATGAGGAAGAGGGGCAAAAGCTTGCCTTTCAAAAAGCTTGTGTGGTTTGCGGATTACAGTGGAAGCTAGAATAAGAAGTTAGAAAGCACAGTGCAATCCTATACATGCCTACTCAGAAGTACGTGCAATTGGGTTTAATGAGGCTTGGATGTAGGGTTGTATAGGAACAGGATCGGGTACTATTGAATTAGTCTGCAGACTGCATAGAAGGAGAACAAACAAATTTTGTAACATAAAATTCATTTTTTAAATTCCGCATAAATATATACATGAAATCATTTTGTTTTAAATCTTATCTGAAACAACCAAACATTAAGAATAAATAGAGATGAATCTATATGATCAAAACTCAGAATCTCCATCACAGCTGTTTGAAATCAATCCCAAATAACTTTTCCTGAGGCAGGAGGTTTTTTCCTACAAAAGTGGCCATGTCCCCTTAAATGTATATAAAACAAATACATCATAAAAATCCCGGATTTATTTTTTTGTTTTTGTTTCTGGAAAATCAAGGGCTTGCTATCTCCCAAGAGTTAGGCAATGAACCAACGTTTGCTTTGTGTTTTGAAAATCTTTGTGGCTTTTTGTGTGTGTGAGAGAGAGCTACTAGTTCCCGAGAAGGAACAGACACTTGAAAAGGGCCTTTGATGCATGCCTGAATGTCTTTCTTTCTGTTTAGGTAGACATTGCCAAAAAGACCCTGATGAATGCAAATCCAGACCATGCTTCCCTGGAGTAGCTTGCTTCAACACTATGGATTCCTATTATTGTGGTCCATGTCCTACTGGCCTGTATGGAGATGGGAAAAGATGTTATGGTAAAAAGCTATCCTTTTTTGGTCACCAAAAAAATCACATTTCATTTTATTTCCAAGTGTTTTGTTCATTCCACTAAGCGGTGCTTAAAACATCGGATGTGCCTAAGGCAGAAACCTGTCTAATAATCCTGTCCATATAATAGAAATTCCATAGAACTTTCGTGCTTGATAGCTGATTCTCTTATATTGGATAGGAAACATGGTTTTGAATGAGAAAAGTTTTGGTAGACAGGTTGAACGATTGACTTAAGTCAGCCTTCCCAAACCAGTTGCCTTCCAATAACTCCCATCATCCCTGACAATTTTCTGAGCTAACCGGGGCTGATGGGAGTTGGAATCAAACAACAAAAGCAATAGCAGTGTTTACTGGGTAAGAAACTAAGACTTTTCAAGAGAGGATCAACACAGTGTTGTAAAATAATTGTGTCTGTATGTGTTTTCCCATATAAGCAACTTCCAATTAAATGTTTGTTTGTACAGTCTGTTCCTCTGTGTGCTTGCAGAAGATGTGCGTAGAATCTTTCTGGTGAAAAGTGAGGCTGGAAGTGGCTGTAACCCGGAACGTTAAACATTTTTCAATAAGCCTAACAACTTTTTATGTAACCCTTTGGCTGTCCTTTAAATAAGCTACCTTTGGTTTGCTATCCCTTTGATTTGGGCATTCTTTTGTTTATGTCGCAGCTGGAATAAAACCAACAAGCAAGGCTCCCTCTGGTCATTTGACTCCAGAAGATGGATATAACAAAATAGACTCCAGTGAAAGAATCGGTGTGGGCAAAAATCATGGATACAGAATTGCTAGTGCCCATACTGATGAAAATGTCTCTGGCAAGTAAAGAGCTCAGGTTTATGTTATTCATATATATATATTTTGAAGATAAAAGAATGGGGTGGGAGGCAGCAAACCTTATTATTAGAATTCCTTCTGATTTCTGAAAACATCAGAATGAACAGCAGTGTATGGCATTTCTAAAAACAGAATGACATCTGCCTGGAGAAGTGTCTCCACCCCCATTTGTTCAGTCTGGACACTGAGGTCCAGCTCCAAGGGCCTTCTGGCAGTTCACTCACTGTGAGAAGCGAAGTTACAGGGAACCAGGCAGAGGGCCTTCTCGGTAGTGGCGCCCACCCTGTGGAATGCCCTCCCATCAGATGTCAAAGAAATAAAAAACTATCTGACGTTTAGAAGAGATCAGAAGGCAGCCTTGTTTAGGGAAGTTTTTAATGACTGATGTTTTAATGCATTTTTAACCTGTTGTTGTTGTTGTTGTTGGCATGGCTGGCTGTAATCCTGAGCAGGTGCATTCCTCACTGAAACACTGTTTGCAGGCCCTAGTCTTCCTTTATGCCTCATTCTCATTCCTCTTACTTTGCATAAGCTCTTGGCGTCACTCTTTTCTGTTTTTCTATCCATCTTGCTTAGGCTGTAGGTTCTGGAGAATGTATTATCTAAAGGAAGATGGACTGACAAACAGGAAAGGATACGGAAAGGGTTTGTGCTGCGGCTCACTTCTTGTGCAGGCTACTGATAGGTAGATGCTAAGGAGTATTAATTTCAGGTTTATGTTTTACACTCCCTGCCAACTCTCCGTTATGTCTTATGCTCCCCGCCGACAATTCTGGGAGCTCTTGTTTGGGTTTAACCTTTTGTGTGTTTTTCTAGTAGACTTCTAATGCTAAGTACACCGCAGCAAGCACAACTGGAAAAATCCAGATATATGTAGAAGTCTACGTTCTTTTTTTACTGTTTTAAAACTATTCTCTTTGAAATGTAAATCTTGTAATAATGCTCTTGTGTCTGTCTCTTGTTTGTTTGGCAGGTTTCCTGCAACTGTCAACTGCTGAGGTTCCAAATACCACAGACTTCCCTCTTAATCCCACAGATGTTCCCAGAAGTTTCATTCCCACAGAAGTAGCCAACAGCAGTCCACCCGTTTCTGCAGCCAAAACAACTGTGTCTTCACATGTATTCATTTCCCAGAGCCCAGCTTTGAGAAAGCCTGTTAGTAGTGCATCCCCTGATTATGCATTAGGTGCCAGTACTGTAAACATCCATTCTGGCACCGCAAAGGAAGAGTCAGCAGCAGATGCAGTAGGCTCTGCATCTGACACGCCACTTAGGAATAAGACAGTATTTCCTGAGAAGACGACGGTGGCACGAGAGCAGATCTATTCTCCCCTAGAGGCCAGCGTAACATTGAGCAGCAAAGCTAACGTGACATTAATAACCAGCAAAGAACTGGGAGGAGGAAGTGGCCACAAATTCCAAAGGCCATTCGGCAAACCTAAAGACAGCACTTTGCAACCCACCTTTGAAAGGTTTGCTGTGACACTCCAAAGGCCTGGCACGGATCGAAAATCAGGCTCTGCGTCAACTGCTTCCCTGTTACTCACTTGTGCAGAGTCACCCTGTTTCCCCGGGGTTCCTTGTGAGCCAAGTGAAAATGGAAGCTTCAGATGCGGTCGTTGTCCTTTCGGTTATTACGGAGATGGTATTATTTGTAGAGGTACTGCGGCAACATATGTTTTGCTGTTTTGTTGCAACATAATCCTATTTCCAGCAGATGTTCTTGCCGAACTTTTACAATGGCGGTAGAGGCCTGATATGCACATAACGCTAAACTGTGGTTTATTAAAGTATGGTTTAGTATGGTATATTATCCGTTGCTTAGGTTTGTGTGTAAACCCAGTCCAGCATTGGTTTACTGTTAACAAACATGATGTAAAGCCATGTTTATGTTGTTGACTTAGGAACCTTTGATTATAAGTGAACTCAGCACCCTTTGCCATGGCTTGAGCACTCCACTCCAGAGGTTCACCAAACTACAAACACATGAGGCATGAGCAGCTGGAAACAAACTTTGGAGGAACAAACCATGTTTTGTTTGATCATCTGTGGAACAACTTATGGTTACCTCATGATTTTGCTTAAACAAGCTAAGGCTTATTGTTATGTGTGAACCAGACCAGAGAGCTGGACAGCTTGCTGTTTCCAAGCTGCATGGGGTATACAAAAATTTAGGCAGTTGCTGTTCTATGTGAAACTTTGCATGGCTGAGTTGTGTCTAAAGAACAGTCATGGTGGGGAAGGAGAAGGGAGCAGGAACGCTATCAACAAGGTCACAGAAATTGCATAAATGGCTCCCCAAATGCACATTCTGTTCACTGATCATTGCGTTTCGCCATATCTGCTGGTGGCCACATGTGATGGGGTTGCAGAAAAACTTGAACTTCATAATTGCACAAACTGATGGAAAGTATAGCGTTTTCAAGGTCAGTGCTGTTAGCTAATTTTGCATGCTAGGTATTGAAAGTGAATACCACAAACCAGATGAGTTACTGATCTTATTTTCCCCGTTTTTTCCTCTCTCATAGCGATATGCAGGCATAACTGTGGTGAAAACATGGAATGTGTGGCACCCAATACTTGCAGGTGTAAGCCTGGTTACTCCGGCCGTAGCTGTCAGGCTGGTGAGTGATGCCTGTTTTATGCACCCTCTGCATTTAATAATATTAAATGGTACATCTAAGAATTTAATGTTGGTTTTATACAGCTCTGTGTCGACCAGAGTGCAAAAACAATGGGAAATGCACCAAGCCTAATGTATGTCAATGCCCCCCCGGATTCAGTGGCCCCATCTGTGATGAAGGTAACACTGGGCTCTCCTTTTAAAACTAAAGGATGACCCAAAATGCATGCTGAATGTCGGTGTCAAAATTGATTCTCAGAAGTTGCAGTGTCAGCTATTTCACTCCTTCCAGAAAACAGCTGAAACAAATGAAAAAGTTGTATTTCGTGTTTATCACAACCAGTGGCATAGCGTGGGGGGTGCAGGGGGGGCCGGCCGCACCGGGCGCAACATCAGGGGGGGGCGCGCTCGCACTCGCAGCTCTCTGCCCCGAGTGCTAAAATCCACGGGTTAGGGGGCGCAAATTACTTGCCTTGCCCCGGATGCTGACAACCCACGCTACGCCACTGATCACAACGTTCCCACAACAGCAGAAGCTCTAGTGCGCCACTCTTGGTCCTAAAGGTATTCCAAAGAACTGCAACTGTACTGAGAATAGCAATAATGGCACCCTGCATGATGCAGGCAGCTCTTGTTCTGTTCTAACAGTTTGCCGCCATGTACCTGGTGCAAAGATTTGCTCTGATGTAACTGGCCTTAGAGTGGCTGGAATGCATGCATGAGTCACCCCCAAGCTCTTCTCAGTTCTGTTTGTGTCCTATTCCATCTTCCTTGGTTCTACCCTGCACCACAGCTTTGTGTTATATTTTTGGTGTGATAAATGTGTAGGGAAGGTATAGTAGGGAGATTGATGAATCTGTCAATTTTTGTTTCTCTGTTTCTCATTTTGTCCAATTTTAAATGTAATTCAATTTTCTGCAGCAATTTGCATTTTAAAAAGAATCCTCATGAAAGTTTACCAACATTTTAGGACATATTTCACCTAATACATACATTCCCCCCCCCTGCAGTTTTTAATGTATGCGTTTTGGAAGGAAATTTCCTAAACGTAATGCATTTACTTATGTGTGCACACTTCCCCATATACACTCGTTTCTTCACCAATTATTTGACTGGAGAACTGTGTCACAAAATTTGGAGACATGCAAATTGTGATTCGCGTATTGAATTGAAAAGCGCAGATTAGGAAGTTTCTCAGTAAAAGGCAAACAAAATTGAATTTCTCCCCACGCCGCTCAGAATATACCTCCCTACTCTCCATCTTAACAATATCCATACACACAGTTTTGTACATATACTTGTCCTTAAAGACCCTATATTTTTAGAATCATAGTTCCCATGCCTGTTCATATGTATAAAGATGGATGTCAATGGTAGTCATTTTATTGATGGCCGACATTTTGACATATTGTCTAAATGCACAGTACTCAGTGAAACATATCCCTCATGGCCAAATTAATGTTTCCTTTAGAATAGATAATCTAAAGGCCAGTGCTATTTTTCTGGAAAGAGAGGTGCCGGAACTCACCATGAACACCTCCCTTGTTCTCTTAGCCCACCTGAGAGGGTCCGGAACTGAGTTCAGGTGTGTTCTGGCTGAAAAAAGCCCTGCTAAAGGCCCAGCTCTACTTCCAGGTTCTTGGTGAGGGGGAGGATTAATATAGTAGGCCAGTTGTTTTAATGGTGAGAAGGAGGAGATGGAGTAAGTTATGGAAGATTGTAAAAACACATTTCAATATTGTGTTGCTTTACTGTACACGGTCTGCTTGGATTATATAACTCACCCTGGGATTGCTTGCCTGTGAAGCACAGGAGGATAATGAAATAAATGAAATAGCCCTTGGGGTCTTAAATCTGCCATGGAGCACATTTCCTGTCATTAAGCTACTTAGACCACTGTCAAAAACAAACATAGATTGAGATCAGCACTGACATTTACCAGGGTTGCCTCTGTTGATATCATCAGAGTGATGCCTATTTATATGCATACTTAAGTTGGATCCCTGCTAAAACTAGGATATTCTTGATATTCCAAGAAACAGCTTCAGTTGTTTCTTTAACAAGACGGTGGCAATTTCGAATTGTTCGCAAGCAAACCTGAACTGGTTTTTTTCAAAGGCAGGATGAACTGAGAGTCCCCTACTTCACAAGTTGTTGTCCTGCCTTTTGACCACTAGGTGGGGACATGGACCCAACATGATAGTTTTGCCAGTAACCAATGCAAAAATAGTGTTGTAGAAAACTTTTATTTCTGTTTTTACACCTTTTGTTTAAAAGTTTCTAAAGTTAATTGATTTCTGGAACTGATATCTTGACCAGCCTCCCTTTCCACCTCCAGCACATTGTGAGCCACCTTGCCAACATGGAGGGACCTGTCTGACCAGAAACCTTTGCACTTGCCCATATGGGTTTGTGGGTCCACATTGTGAAACAAGTAAGTAATGGAAAACATAACAAACATATAAACAAAGCATCCTGCTGTAGCAAGATGCACATAGATAAGAGGTACTATACGTTTCTGATGTTCTGTGCCCCAAAATAACCTCTTGGTGAATTTGTCGGAAGTAAATTATTATATTTTGCTTTTTTTAATCAACCCACCTGGTTTTTCCAAAGAAACTCAAGGCAACTAATCAATAATATAATACAAACAATGCCCCAAATTAAACCATATCACACAAAATACAGCATAAAACAAAACAAAAAAATGAAAACAATGCCAAAACCACCACCCAAAACCCTCAAAACTAAGACAGTGAATAAATTAATTGAAGGTCATTTGTTTATTTGATTCCATAACCATTCTTCACCATTTAGTCCCAGAGAATGTTACAACAATATACTTTGCAATGATAAAAAATGGAAAAATACACCTATGACTCCTATTTAGCTGTTTGGATGGAATAATACATGCTAACAGCAACCTCTTTGACGTCAACAGGCCTATTCTAAGCATGGTTAAGTCCCGATTCAGCTAAATATCTTGAGGTGTAGTTCTCGTTATTTTCTCTTTGTAAACCACTATGAGGTTTGTTTGTTTTTACAATCAATTGGTGTGTGAATTTTATTAAATACCGGTAAATATCATAGCAGAAAGACAATTGCAGACAAAACCTGGGAAATTATTTGGGTGTATATAGATATGCAATAAAGATATGACAGCGACCCCTTTTTTCTCTACTAACTTCTGCTTATTTTGTTTCTTAAACACTGGTTGCTTGGTTTAGTGGTTTGCAACAGGCACTGTGAAAATGGCGGTGAATGTCTTGCCCCAGATGTCTGCCAGTGCAGGGTTGGCTGGAATGGACCCACATGCAGCACAGGTAAAAAAGTATAGCCCCAAAGGCCGTTTATTTGCAGTAAAACCATACACACACGTTGCCACCAAGAGAGACAAGATCAGCTCAAAAACGCTGAAATCACGATTGGTGATATGAAAAGTGGCAGGCTTTGAAGGACCAGTGTTACGCTGGTTGTGGTAAGAGATTTCTTCGCACCAGGGTTAAGGTAGAGTTGGAGAGGGAGCGGCTCCCACAAGAACTTCTGTCTGGAAAGCTTCTGTGGGAACCACATGGTGGAGCTCTGCTCAGCCTTCCTCTGCAGAATAACAGTCAAGGCTTCAGCCCTACTTAAGGAAGTCATGGAAGAAGAATTTGCTGCTTGGATCTCTCCACTGAAGCCACATGAGCTCTTGCCTGCTCCTCCCCTCAGCAGCCCCTGGCTTCCTAAACTGGGGTTTAGGGGGGTGGGTTCCAACCTTCTAGAGAGGCTGTGTGGGGGAAGTCAGGGGTTGCTATAGCTTTGAAAATCAAATACCCTCTTATGTGTGCAAGATCAGCTTTAATAAAATTTCATGCAGTTTCTTGTAGTTCTCACTGATTTTTTAAACACTGGGTAGGACTGTCACCTGGCCTCTTTTAAGCCACCCAACTAGGGTTTTTCTTGTTTGTTTGTTTGTTTGTTTGTTTGTTTGTTTGTTTGTTCTCTCCCCCCCCCCCTTGTGTTTTGTTCTCCCAGAAAAGGAGGGTGTTTTGTTGTTAATTACAGTTTCCATGCTAGTTGTGAAAAGGCATTTCTAACCAAGCATATATTTATATAAGCCACCTATGCAAATAAGCATAGGTTATTTTTTTTCTTTTGGCCCGGTAGATATAGCAGCCCTCCTTCCAAAGAACAGTTCAAAGCAAATTACACTTCAGTTATTTTTCCCATTACAACTTAGTTAAGTGACTTAACGAAGTATTTGCGTTGCAGTGAAATGAAATCGCTACATGGCACACATGCTTAAATGTGTTTCCACTTAACCTTTAAAATGAAATACTCTTCTCTTCTCTCCTTGTCTTCTTTAGCTGTGTGTGACCCAGTGTGTCTCAACGGCGGATCCTGTATTAAACCAAACATTTGCCTTTGCCCCAATGGATTCTTCGGTGCCTATTGCCAGAATGGTAATTTTGTTGTGCTGTTTTAAAAGAAACGTGTGATAATTAATGGTTCCCCCTCCACACACACACACTTCTACTTTTAAGGGAAGAAACATTGATAGAATGGCTCCAAATGGATCATATAGCAGGCACAAAGGGCACTGCGATGGGGTGGTGACCCCTTCGTCTTTGCGGTGGACCCCACAACTTCTGTGCGTCCAACCATTTCGGTTATGGGCACTCTGCACAATCCAGTGCTGGTGATACATATAATTAGCACATGCAAATTTGCGTCATGGACCAGTGCTCTAAAAACACCTCTGGTGGGGATAATGTAACTTATCGTGGTCCGAGCATTGGGCAGACCAATGGTCAGAATTTGTAGGAGCTGAAGGAAAGCGATTTGTTGCAGAAGCATTGCTGGATCCAGATGGAGGTTTCATTGCCATCAGGTTTCAGCCTTTCCCATTTTAACCGTATTGTGGCAGGGCAGCGGGGGGCAGGTCTCAACACCAGCACCATTCATCATATACAACCCACTTTATACATGATCCACAAAAGAGGACACTGCCCCACCTTTGATCTTCATCAGATTGTGCTGATGGGGAATGAATAGGCCTAAGTGTGGACAGTCAGTAGTCACAGGCTTCAGAGCAGCAGTAGCTTTTCTAATTAAGAAGCTGGAGAGAACCAATCAGCTCCCATTCTCAACCCTCAATGATGAGAATTTCAGATCTAACTAGATCAGGGGGTAGGGAACCTTTAAAACACCGTGGGCGGCATTCACTTCTGAGGGTCACACAGGTAGCTTACACTAGTGGCCAAAATTGTGGAAACCTTTTGGACAAAGAGTATTTCTGAGGTTTGATGGCTCATAACACTTTTTTTGAGTAATACCATAAAATTATATATCAATGGAAAGATAAGTTAATGAAGAATGTAATGCAATGAAGTTTGTTTGAATGTAATGCAATGAAGTTTGTTTGAATGTAATGCAATGAAGTTTAGAGAGGTAATCAGGTGTTATGAGCCATCAAACCTCAGAAATATACTTTTTCCCAAAAGGTTTCCACAATTTTGGCCACTAGTGTGCTTGTGCTCACGCCCCCCTCTGTGCCCTCCATCTCGTGAAACCAGAGGCATGACCAGAGTTCAAGGACACATTCCAGACTGGCAAAAACAGGATGTGAAGGGGAGCCAATGAGGGGATGTGGCCTGCGAAGAATCTGGAGGGCCAGATACAGAAGAGTTGAGGGCCGCATCCTGCACCCCTTCCTAAAGGTGCCTTTTCCCTGTAGAAAATAAAATAAAAATAATAGGCCCCTCTGCTATGCAACACTCGAACCACTGCCTCACCTCTCTCTCTCTCTCTCTCTCTCTCTCTCTCTCTCTCTCTCTCTCTCTTGTCTTTAGCCATCTGCAACCCTGCCTGTAAGAATGGCGGCCACTGCATGAGAAACAATGTTTGCGCCTGTCCTGGTGGCTATGGTGGCCGACGGTGTGAAAAAAGTAAGACTGCTTCATAAAAAAAAACGCTCTCGCATCTCAACATGCCAACTTGGGGCGATTCTGGCAGCTCAGTCTCGTGTGCTGAGTGTTTTCTCGTTGCTCTTTGGTTTCAGGTGTCTGTGACCCGGTATGCATGAACAGAGGAAGATGCGTGGGCCCAAACGTTTGTTCCTGCCCATCGGGCTGGAGAGGCAAAAGATGTAACACTCGTAGGTATTACTCTCAGCCGCTTGGAAAAGGAGAAGCCTGTTAAATTGGGCGTATAAAAAAGGCTCTCCGTCCAAGCTACAGCAATAAGTAGCATTTAATTTAGATTTGCTTGTAACTGGAGGGCATCTTTCCACTGCTGCTTAATGTGACCCTGAGGGTTTTCCTGTCTAAATGATGGAAGCAGGTCTTAGCTTCTGCTCCAGAATGGCATGCTCAGATTTCCTTGTTTATCTCCGCTCTTAAGCAAACAGGCTTTGAATGCTCAACTTAGTATCTCACTGGCACAGCATGTCTCCCTCAGTCTTTTTGAAGCATTACCACTGTTCTGGGAGACAAATTCCCATTTCTCCTCCAGAAGACATGAGGCTGTAGCTTGATTAAACTAATGTAAATGAGGTCAACATTAGGTTGCATTAATTTCATATATAAAAAGACGGCGAATGCCATCGCCAAGAGTAGCAGACAGTTGTTAGAATTTGCCTAAGCTCGCAGAAAACTATCAAGGGTGGGAACGCATCAATATGGCAGGCAGATTAAGCAAAGGTATATCTTACAGTTCCCAGTACCATTTGTTCATTGTTTGCACTGATTTTGAGCCATTGAGGGTATTCACACTTCTCTTTCTACGCATGCCTTTCTTGTACAGCTATATGCCTTCAGAAGTGCAGGAACGGGGGCGAATGTATTGGACCAAGTACTTGCCATTGCCCTCCAGGATGGGAAGGAGTTCAGTGTCAAACACGTGAGTCAGATGTAATGTTTGGATTACCGGGGGGCACAGGTGTTTTTATAGGGCTTTTAATAGCTTGTTCATCCAGAGCTGCACCATACGAACTGGTCTTTATTAAAGTAACTTGAAAGAGAGCATTCCCTGCGAGATCAAGTACTCTTGCCTCACCTTCCATTCATCCCAGGGTAATCAGTCATGTTTAAAAACAATAGGGCTTTTATGTCTGATGGTCAGAAATGTCAGTTCCATGGAATGTAGGAAACTGCCCTATACCCAGCCAGATTTTTGCCAATCTACTTCAGTACTGTCTTTTTGAATTCAAACGGTGGCTTCTTCTTTGCAGCTGAGGCATGACTTTTCAGTCACCTGCCAATGTCATACACAACATCAGGTGACTGACAGATGGAGAGCCCTTCCACCTGTCAAAAGTGGCTTGTTGGAGGGCTAGCTACTTCTGGATCTGGTCAGATCCAGTTCCCCACCCCTGTACTAGATCATAACATTAAAAAATTAAAAATAAATCTAAAACCTGAAACTAAAAAAAAGTTCCTCTTTAAATCCTTGGTGAATAAGTTAACATTATATTTGAAGCTCAAACTAAAACAATATAATGAAACTTTTTTTTTTTCCCAGTGCAGAGGCAGGATGGCCATCTGCCATGTATGAGATTCCTGCATTGCAGAGGGTTGGACGATGACCCTGGGTGTCTCTTCCAACTCCACAGTTCTATGATTTAACACCTCCCTCTTAACATTTTCACAATTAGCATTTCTATTCCAGTATTGTGCAAAGAGATCTGCTGGCAGAGTAGACTCTGCATCCATTGCCCTGCTGTTTCACTGCTGGAGGTGAACGAGGGGGCATTCTTTATTCCTCCTCCTCCTGTCATCAACTGGAGGGAATTAACTTCTCCAGCCCAGGGCTGTTGCACAGAACCTCAGCATTTCTGCAGGTGTGTTGGGGGAGGTGAAGAGGCTTTGAGCATGGCATCTCCATGCTTTCACCCAACACATTTCATTCCCCCCCTCCAGTCCATCAGCAGAGCTGAGGTTTCTGCCAGGGAACATCCAGTGGCAGGTCGTTCCACATGTGCACAGTACCTCCATCTTCCCTAGCTGAACAGTGGTTCCTGCTCTTCCTAAGGCAACTCAGCCAGCTGGAGTTAAAATTGCACCCTTACACATTAAATTCCTATGCCGTGTATTCCTTTCCTAGTCTTCATTGTTGGCAAAAATAAAATCCACACTACTCCCTTTTGCTGTTGCTTCCACTAGCAAACAGGCTGCAACCCACATATTACCTGCCATTTTACAGGATTGCACCATCAAGCTTTCCTGAAAGCTACACAGTTGTATTTGTTAGCAGTCTGTTTACCCTAATATCTCTTTTATATAGTCATCAGCCCAGTACTTCTGTATTTCCCTACAGCCTCATCAAATATGTCTAAAATTAGCATCTCCAACACTGTGTCATAGGAAGTGCATACATACATTTTTTTCACAGCCTTTGAGGAGTGTGATATCATTTTTTAAATCATCTTATAGGAGTGCAACATTCTTCAAATGACTGGGCCATTAGCAGAGCCACACACTCTTGAAAACGTTGCTTTGTTGCTGTATATTCATGGGCCATTTGGAAACTGAACGAGGGATGCCTTTCTGACCAATGCTTTTTGTTGTTGTTCTTGCTGAGCTGTAGCATGTAAACACATGCTTGTGCACCCTAAGAGTTACTGCAGAATCCCCAGGGGCTCTCTCCTCGACAGACAGGTTTTGTTTTGATTGCCAGATTAAAACACATGCACACATGTATGTTTCAGCCACGTGCAACCGGAAATGCCTATATGGAGGTACATGCATACTGCCGAACGTATGTGCTTGTCGTCCTGGCTACACGGGAGTCACATGTGCCAAAAAAATTCAGGTAATCATAGTACAAATACTCAGTGCTTTCGAAAGATGGAAGAGGTTTAGGGAGAAATTAAGCTGCATCCTAATTTGCCGGTCTTTTTGCTGCTTATGTTTCAAGGTACAAGGACGTCGCGCGTGAAGAACAAATGTCTCTGGGTCGCACAGTGTGCTGCATGGATGCCAGCCATCTCTGGTGTGGAGAGGATCACTCAAGACAATGTTACACGAGTGGCACAATCTGGCCCCTTCCACATGCAGAGTGCAGAGTTGTTCTTCATATGAATACTTTGAAGTTCTTCCCTTCCCCGCAAGGCTGCCTCTGTGTAGGGCACAACGCTGCTTTGCCAGTCATGCTGCAACCTTCCCAGCCAATCACATTAAGCAGAAGCCTGTCTAGGGCTCACCTCGAAGCACCCAGGGGCCTGCTTCTCCCCATGGCTGTGGTGCACAGGCTCTTTGCAGCAGAAAGATAGTGGCATCAAATGTGGGATCCAAGGGGGACTGGGCTGCTAGATACTTCCAGGTGAGGTTGGACCAGGCTTTACCTTAACCACAAATGGCTGAGTAAGTTGCAGCTGGCTCAGAATAGCAGCAAATGCCCCTGATTTACTGGCAATCAACATCCATCACACTGCTACTCTGGCTGGAGTACCCCAAGTTTGTTACAGCAAAGAATATGTCTCAGTATGGTTTTAAAAACCAATGAGATTAATTAATGCAAAACATCCAAATCAGGCATAATACACCATCACTTACGTGTTTGTCATGGTGCCTCAGAACTAGGTTATGGCAGCTTTAAATTTGTGTAATAAATACTTGGATAAAGCAGATAATTCAGATTCCCAATCCATGATAGCTGGAGGGAGCAAGCTTTAGAAAAGAAACCTGTGCCTAATATTGCTTGGGATCCTGTCTTGCAATTTGTGAGGCGCCTCTGCCAGTTCAGTCGTGGAATACGACGCTGCCAATATGTATGGTGTAGGATTCAATTGTGTGACTTTAAGCCATCTGTTTACTGCAACTGATTGAAAAATGAGCATTTGGAGACAATATGAATTTGAAACTCTGGAATGGTTTATACATCCCCTCATATGTAACATGCCAGCACCATAAATTTGCACCATACTCTGTGAGCCAGGAGAATTCCATATTTGTATGCGATGAACTTTTGCTGAGGTTGAAAATTAAAGATCAAACACACCCACATACAAAAGGACCAGCTTGACCCAGTGAAGATGCTCACCATGCTGTGGACCTGTGAGTAAGATAGGACACCGTGAACCACTGTAACCTCACACCGGCATCTGAGTAAGCTGGGGAATGCTGGATGGCTCCAGCTACTTCTCAGGGTTACTGCTTCAAACATACCTGTGGTCCTGTTATGTTAACCATTTCTGTCTTAGCCAGTGGTTTATCACAATTTGGTTTTCTATAGCAATTCATCTATGCAAGAGAACTTTTGGCTACATGTCGCATGTACACAGATCCAGTGAATAGCATGTTGTTTCTAATTCTTATTACTCCATTGCCCAATGAGCAGCAGCTGGCATCCTTAGGAAGCTGTTTCAGGGCCCTGGCAGGACCCGCTGCTTGTTGTTGGTGTCACCAGGTTGGCATATGCCCAAGAAGAACCTGTAGTCACAGAAATGCCAGTTTAGGAGAATTAGCACCGCTATGGAGATCTTTACTGCAGCTGGCTGCACATCATAGCTGTTACTGCAGTAGACCCCATTATGGCACTTGCACTAGGGAGTCTTAACAATGACCCCTGAATGCCAGTAGGAGGGCTTGCTTCAGAGAATTGGAAATGATCACACTGCTGTTATAAATAGAATACTTATCCACAAGTAATTGGCCAAACAAGAAATAAAAAAGGCTTTGAGGTTTGAAGTGCTGATGTAGGAGACTAAAATGGTTAAAGGTTGCATGTTTATCCATTCCACGTTGTGGGAATAGAAAGGGCTAGTGGTGGAGAATCGCTTTGTGGAGAAGTCCTAGAGACCCACCTTATTTGTGGAAGGACAGATAAAAAGCAGGCAAAGTTCATGTGCCACACACCACATGTTCCAACTAAAGGAGGGGGAAATGTGAGCAAGATTGGGGGAGTGTGAAAGTTGGAAAGAAGTGAGGGAGTTGAAATATGAGAATGATCTGTCCTGTCAGAGTGAACAAAGAGAAATGAACAACTGGATTTTCACTGAAGTACATTGTCACGAATGGGCTAAGGCAGTGTTCTTCAACCTTGGGTCCCCAGATGTTGGTGGACTACAACTCCCATCCTCCCTGGCCATTGACTAAGCTGACTGGGGATTATGGGTACTGGAGTCCAACAACACCTGGGGACCCAAGGTTGAAGAGCACTGGGCTAAGGTATTCATCTGTATTACTTTTGGGTTGTTGAGAGAAACCAGGGTCTGGATTCTTATACCCAACTGGAGACTACCACCAACTCTTTCAAGTCATGGGATTCCTTCATCCACCACAGTCCTTGAGAGGAGGCGCTGGCTTCCCACCCTCTTAAAGTTTGTTCCCTTTTAAGTTGTATTTGGGTTCGTTTTTGAGTTCCCCTAATATAGTTTAAAATGGAGATCTAGCATTTAGAAAGACACTGACTGGTGCCTTTCGGCTAAGGAAGCCTGACTAAACCTGGAGAAAATATCAAACACAGTGCAGAGGTTATGGGACAGAACAAGAGGCAAGGAAGAGAACTTAAATCAAGCGGCGGTAGCTGATACAGTGCCCTGCAGATGTTTCAGCATCATAGCTGCCCATGAGCTAAAGTCTTCCGGAAGAATCAGGGCTCCTGCAGCTCGATTTGTGAGGTTGAAGCATAAGACAAACAGCTTGGAGCAGCCTTCAGCTCGTGTCCCCAAAAGCTGAACACCTTGGGAATACAAATGGCATCCAGCTGTAGCAGCAGACATAAACCTGAATTTGGAAGTGGGATTTCACTAAAATCTAGGATGGGCATGAGAGTGATTAGATAACAAAGAGGGCACAAGTGAGGAATTACCCTGGGTTGGCACCATGAGTCACACCAGTTTGCCATCACAGAGTTTCAGACAGAAGTCCATCTCAGCCCTTCCTGGAGATGCCTAGACTGAACAGGGCCTAACCTTCTCCAGCTTCCCTGTTTGTCTCTGTTTCCAATTCCTCATTCCCAGATCCTGTTGGTGACGCCAGAAGACTCGTGACCGGCCACACACTCAGTTTGCCATCTGGGAAGGGAGTTTGAAAGCCTACACAAACACTTTGGTAAATCAGTGTTTATTATAAGTGGTGAAAGGGATACCTTTTCCCAGCATAATTATTTTATAGAGAGATGAGCTGGCACTGCAGTCTCCCCCACGCCACTTTCAAGTCTTGTTTTGATGCTGTGGAGTCGTCTGTTCAGTCGCCACCAAAGATGTCCTCCACAAACTCCAAACAGCTATTTCTTTCCCCTCAGTTATCATTATTTCGGTTCCCCCCTCCCAACAGCTGCACACTTACTTAAAATGCCCTCCGACTATCACTCTCCTAGCATTCTGATCTCCTTGGCAACAGTTGCCAAGCCTGCACAGAGCTCTCACCCCAACACACACACACACACTCATTACAATTTTATGTTTCCACCAGGCTTCATGAAACATATTAAAATTGCAAGCAAGAAAAGCGAACAACGCAACAAAACTGCTTCCCAGTTGCTGGAAACAGCAGGAGAGGAGAGTGCTCTGTTGCTTGGGTCCAGCTTGTAAGCTACCCATAGGAGTCTGGTTGGCCACTGTGATGATGCTGGACTAGTTGGGCCATTGGCCTGATCCAGCAGGTTCTCCATATGTTCTTAAAACTACAGAAACATCACCTGCCACATATGGAGGGTAGGACTATCAATGGCTACTAGTAACTGGCTAGATATTACCTCCAATATGTATCAGCTGCTGGAAGACATGAGTGGGAGAGTAGACTACTGTATGTTCTTCATAGAATCACAGAGTTGGAAGGGACCATCTACTCCATCTCCCTGCAATGCAGGAATAGGCAGCTGTCCTTTATGGGGATCAAACCTGCAACCTTGGCATTATCAGCATCACGCTCTAAACAATGGAGCTATCCAAACTGAGCTCACGTCCTGCTTTCCTTGTGAGCTTCTCATAGGTGTCTGGTTGGCCTCACATAGGATGAGACAGAATGCTAGACTATAGTTCTGATTCAGCAATCTAAGTCAAGCTCATGATGACTATTTTTTTGGGGGGACATGTTATGCTCAGCATCTCCTTTCTGCCCTGTGTAAGATTTGTTATAGTATTGAGAGATTATGAAACTCAAATGTGGGCTCGCTGGAGTCCTGTGGGCAAACAAGTGATGGGAATTACCTTGGGTTGCATAGGAGAAGCACCTGTGCCAGGGATTGTGGAAACACAGAATTTCACTTTAAAGCCAGAGAGAAGGATAGATGTAATTTATTTCCAACTCTGGTTTGTTCCATAATATTTGTGATGGCTTTAACATCCAGTGAAATGTTCCTCTCTGATGGGAGCAATGGCAGTTACCTTGAAGAATGCAGTTTGTCTGTTGATGAAATGGTGGGGAAGGACATGACTGATGATGTAAGGACTGTTTGGTATCTTCTTTCTTCAAAAGGGATGCTGCTGCTGCTGCTTTCCCCTGAAGCTTTAAATCAAAGAGCATACCTTCATCATATCCAATTAGCCAGACACTCTGTTCCCTCCCAGCAATTCCCTTAGGCCAATTCCTTAACTGAAGCAGTGACTCTAGCCTTCAGGGCATTGAGACTCTCAATTAGAGACTGCAGCCTGAACCTTTCCTCTTGTTCCTGAACTTTGTGCCTGGGATTGACTTTGCAATTTCTGCAGTACTGCCAGAGATTTTGTTGACTTTTTTTGTAGCTTTTGTGATTCCAGGCTGGTCCAGCTGGAGATAATGCTGGTCCAACCTTGGCATTTATCTTTTGAAAAGGCTTCTGAAGCTATTTCTAGGACAGAGTGGGGAGAAGGTGTGAAATTGACATTGCAGTGCTGTTGTGCTCTATGTGTCTGCACAGAAGATGGGTCACGTCAAACCTCCAGACTTGACATGATGGGATGTAGCTCAGTGGTGGAACATAAGGTTCTAATATCTCCAGGTATAAATCTGAGACTGTCCTTTCTGAAATCATGGAGAGCCACTGCCAGTCATTGTCATGACAGTACTGAGCTAGGTGGACCAATGGCAGCTTCACAAGTTTCTAATTTGCTATCATGAGGGACGGAGGAGTAAGGGCGCTTTATTCATTACAGAAGCTGGAATTTAACACAGCTTCATAAAGACTCTGCACCCTGGGTTCTCCTTTCCCTGGTGAAGGCACCATTCAACCTTTCTTCCAACCAGGAAGAGGCACCATCCTGGAGAAAAAAGACTGACTACTGGTCATCTTGGAGATTTATTATTATTATTATTAAAACCATCTAACTTTGTCTTGTGTGCATCTTGAAGGCAGCATTTAGAGTGCACAATAAGATTTTGAGGCAGAAATTAGGCCTAGGCAAGGGTGGCTAGGGAAGCTGTTTTGCCCAAGCCAGAACCACCTGACCTACATCTGTCACATGGAACAGGTAAATGTGTGGCTGCAAAGGACTAATTGGGACTGCACTCCTGATTGTTCCAAGGAAAGGCTCAGTTGTAAGGCTTGAGGATGTGGACAAGGTGCTTGGATCGGTCAGGGCTTGCACTCTAGACCCTTGCCCCTCTTGGCTGATAAAAAGCAGCAGGGAGGGAACAGCTGGCTGGACCAGGGAGACGGTCAATGCCTCCTTACGAGAGGGGGTGGTCCCTGCCTGTTTGAAGGAGGCAGCCAGAAAGCCACTCCTTAAGAAACCTTCCCTGGATTCGGAAAATCTAACTAACTACTGGCCAGTTGCTAATCTCCCTTTCCTGAGCAAGGTTCTGGAGTGAGTGGTCGCAGACCAGATCCAGGCGCTTTTGGAAGAAACTGCTTTTCTGGATCCATTTCAGTCGGGGTTTAGGCTCAGTTTTGGCACAGAAACTGCTTTGGTCGCCCTGTATGACGACCTCTGTCAAGAGAGAGAGACAAGGGAAACATATCCCTGTTACTTCTTGACCTCTCAGCAGCTTTCAATACCCTCAACCATGG